TCTTTAATTCCACTCGAACGAAGTCGCGGGCGAAAGCTAGTATAAGTATAATTCGAGACGCAGAATATACTGGAATTTTATAATATAATAATATTAGCACAAATACTAGATACAAAAACACTCAATATCTCACTGGTATCTATAAATACGATACAAATGAGAGAAGTGATTGAAATGTAAACATAGCTTGAATTAAATTTGAAAGAAGTATAAACACTTCTATAGAATCATCCGACTGAGAGATTTGTAAATACAACTGAATATTTAGTTTGTAGTTTTAGAATAAGCGAAGTCATAATATAAAACGGTCAACATAGAACGTGTAGAAGCAACAGCTGCTATTTAGACTGGACTGTATTAGTGTAATTATTTACAGTATACTAAATTATTAGCATTTCTATCTTCAAACATCGCGTCTGTTTACATTAGATTAGAATCGCACAGTAGACAATGCAACGCTTTCCTAAATTAGTGAAATTAAACGAATTAGCTTGTTTTGCTAACTAGTGTATTTTACGAAGCTCTTGTAGTGGTAGCAAACTATTGAGCATTGGAACTGTACTAATGCTGTTGAAATGGGAAGTTGATTCTATGAATTCTTGTACTATGTGAAGTTACCTTCATCTATATGAGAATAGGGAATTGTCATTCCCATCTTAACAGCTACCCTCATTATCTGATGTGCAGCGCTCCTGTCATCAGCTACGACAGATCTTTATTAATGTGGGTTTCGTAAAATTACAATTATATCAAGGTTTAAGTCAGTTGTTTGTTGCGACAATACTAAATAGTAAATAATACACTGCCATTCCATTTAACACCAAAGATAGGGCTAGAAATATCGTTATGGTTATTAGAAGTTTTACAATAAGTATTAAATAAAGTATACACAATTAATTTTAGCGAAGCTTAAAATGAAATAAAACGACACATGAGATTGTAGTACAAATAGATATAATTTAGATACTGAAAGAGAACTGACGCACACTTATGCCGTTATATCGACGCAGAATATATGAGAGTAATGTTACGTTACAAGTTGTAGCGATACGAATAGTTAAATGTCAGTGTTATAAATTGTTACAAAATATTTAATAGATAATTCAACTCAACTTATATTGTAATTGTGAAGAACTTACTCCGAAAGGATTTTTACAATAGATGGCAGCACTCAGACTGAGTTTGAGTTGAATTATCTATGTCATTCTTTTATCAATTCAGAAATATCTTATGATACAATCTCAAAATATGCTTTAAATACCACATATATATAAGAATATGATATTTTAGATTCACTTCAAAGTGCATTCCAAAATAAGTAGAAATGTATAATAAAATTACATTGACCATGGATCTACTAAATTATTTTAATCCTGATAAGACATTTGCACTCTATACTACGTGTACTCACTTTTGACTTAAAGCAATTCATTAAAATATTCTAAATTATTTATTAAGAAATTAATATTAAGATTTTAAATAAGAAATGATGGTAGTATTTCGAAGTAGAAATGTTGTGACGCAATCTATGATTCGTGTCTCCGAAACGAAATTCTAAAATAATTAATAATTATTTAGTGATTAGTAACTAAGTGCGAAACAAATAGATGTAAGGTGTTTATTTAGATAATTGTGGAATAAAATTATGTAAGTCGCTGTAAAAGCACGAAATCCGGTAAATCTAACGATAAGAAATTCTTACTGCCATTTACCTGTAATGTTCACATAAGAATTTATTCAAATACCCGGTTGAGTTTTAAGAAGATAATTCAATTGAAAAAAAAACTTCTTAAAAACAAATTGTTAATTGTACCAAGTGGAGTAAATTTTTCGAACTTTTATACAGCTGGTAAATCTTAGAATTGACCGGTGATCGTGCCTTTACAGCGACATTTACGTTCATTATATTATGTGCACATTCCAAGAAAAAAATTGTTTAATATATTTTAAGTGGGTAAATAATAAAATGAGTTATTTATTTTGAATTATCATATATTGAATGTATTTAAATTTTTATTATATGTATGTACAAGTATTTACAAGAATAATTATTAACTTCCATTTTTTTCTATAATTTACTTTTCAATGTGATTAGGATAAAATTTGCCAATTAAATTGAAGCCTAAGTAACTATACACCAATGTTTCCAAAAGCAATATGAAAAATACAAAAAAAAATATAATATGCAATATTTACTATAGTCGTGAGGTTAAAGTGATCTTATTTTGGGCATTTAATGTTAGTAAAAAGACAAATTCTTATATAAGTAAAATAAAAAAATAAAAAAAAAACACTTTTGAGGAGATGCCTTAAATCTATTTAGGGGGTTTTCCATTAATCACGTGATGTTTTAGTAAAATTTTAAACCCTTACAGATACGTGGTAAAGGGTTAGACTTGCCTTCACCCCTACAGCTAAGATCCTAAGTATTTAACAAGTGTACTATAAAATTTTGATGCAATAAATTATTTGAATTATTATTATTTTATTAATAAAATGTCGTCACCAATCAAAAAATAACTTATGTATTATGTATTATTTTAACTTCTCCATGCTTTTAATTTGTCGTGATTTTTGAGACTTCTCCCGAGTTCACTCTCCTTCCAAACGTCACGTAATTAATGGACTATCCCTTAGTTGGAATAATGTTCACAAATAAATTTTATATATAGGTTTTAAAAGGTTAAATTTAGAATTCCATTTATCTTAGAAGATATAACAAGAACTGAGGAGTGATGTACTTATAATTAAGGATTAGTTAATTGTAGTTTTCCTTGAATTAATTTAATACCATAATGATGAAGTGGTTAGTTTTTATGTTTTGTAAGAGACGCTAGAAAGTTATTAATAGTCGAAGTAAGGTTGCATGTTTTTTAATAGATCACACTCCTCAGGACGTGGACTTAATATTGAAATTTACAAATTCATAGCAATTTAATAAATAGTAAGACATAGTACATGTTAAAATCAGTAAATCGCCATGTTCACAATATTACAATGATATGTAATATTATTTTTGAATGGTTTTGTTGTGGTGTTTAATATTAAATAGTTATGAGTTCCATTAAAAAAATAAAATTATAGGTGTTGCAAAAAAATAAATTATACACAATTTGAAATTATTATAAATTATATATTTAGTAGCAATATTTTATCAAGAATATTTACCATGCTTTTAAAATTTATAACGTTTGTAGTTGATTTTATAGATGTTGTATTTGTTGTTTTTTTATCGTATATGAAGTATAAAATAATAGGTTTAATATAACAGGCTCAAGATTTACTTGATTCTAATTTGATTCAGTGATAAAATAGTTTAGAAAATGTTGAAGACAGAATAGCACTTTTATACGGTTGATTGTCATTTTGAGAATAATTATTAACAGAAATGAATACTAGTGAGATTGGAATAGAAATAGAAATCATATAATAATATGGTCATTGTTAAATTATCAATAGGAGCGGTGAATACCTTATCAGATATTCTAAATCATGCCTTAATTACAGTCGGTTTTTGTATCATTATTAATATACATAAATGCATTTAGCATAATAAGACCATAATTATTAATATAATAGTTATGCATAAAATAGTTACGATATCAAGATATAAAAAAATTGTGATAAAACTCCTGGGAATCGTGAGCATCCATTATTAATATTATTTAAGTCCTCCATCAAGTGATGATAATAGTGTGATATGGCAACATTTGATTCTCATTTATATCAGATCAGTTTTACATTTGAATTCTTCACATTAAAATATAATGATTTATATTTTTTTTAAATCGCAATCATTTTAGCCTTCACCTCTTCATAACAAAGTCTATTCTATATAAAAGGCTCAATTATTGTATAGTACTATAAAATCGGAAAGTATTGTTACAAAAGTAGAAAAAAGGTATAGAATTCTAGATAATTTGAAAAGCACAAATAATAAAAATAAGTGACAGAAAATGTTACGTTAATATTCTTATTTCACGGCTTTAATTCAAGTTGTTTATTTTATTATAAAAATAAATTAATCGCACATCAATTATATTTTAATTAACGCATTATAACACGTGAATAAAAGTTATAATTTTTCTGTTACAATATATTATATGTTACAGTGTGACAGTTTGTTAAACATTGTTAAAAGATATATTATAACAAAGGAATCGTTACCTCATTTTATGATATACACAAAGGAAATCGATAAATAGAATAATGTAGTCATATAGTTTGTATGGTACATATTTAAGGTGCAGTCAAGATAGTACTATAAAATATATGAATAGGTACAATACAACGATGATCTAATAAATTACAAACCGGGATTGACTAGTTGTGAAAGTTAAGTGACGGACGTATTATTTTAAATTATACTCTATTATATTAACTCACCTCTTTAAGATTTGAAATAAATTTTACGCACAATTGTGCACCTTTGTTATAACTTCCAAGCGACGACGCCACTGCTGTTTTAATGCTTATTTACTTAACACTGAGTTCCGAAACAGGTATGCAATAACATTGTTTTCTCAGTATATTGAGAATAGATTAAAGAACACTATGTAAGTGTTTTAGAATTATACCAAAGACACGGACGTATCCATCAAGGAAATAATGAAACTATTTCAAAATTAATTATGTAAACGCTACATAATTAATATCAAGAGTAATTTTTTTTTACTTTTACTATATTAAAAACGATATGCAAACATTTACGTTGTTTATGATTTTAAATTAGTATGAAACTGTATAATTTCAATAATTCCATGAAGGATATGGTCGTTGTTGCTAAGATAAGTTTATTCAAGCAATTTGTTTCTTTTTGCTTAGCTGTTAATATCAACTCATAAGAAAGTTTACTAAAAATGTAATTGTGTTTTATATTTTATTACAATCAGCTACACTATAGTCATTTATTTGTATACTTATGAATGATTAAAATGTACGAAGGGAAAATAAAGCCATTTTTCAGGAATATTTATTTATTTCGATAAAAAACCCCTTTTTTTAGTTCCAATACGTGCACATAAATGACGTCACAAATATAATAAGTAAATACACAATTATAGGCTAAATTTATTGTTATCGTTTGAATTCCATTTTCATACAATGCATTACGAATGTAAATGTACGTTTTCTAGTTTAATGGACGTTTCTGGACGGCGAGACATAAAAGTTGCCAGTATATTAGTATTTTGAACCCTCATGAAATCCAGATCTGTAAAAAACAATCAGTTTAAAGTAAAATAGCTACAAAAGAATTCACACAATACTATGAAATATTGGAACTATCGAAAAAAAAAATATAATTGATTAAATATACATATAAAAACTCACCTATAATGCATATGAAACTCGGCTCAATATCAATGTTTATTGGAATGCTTTTAAATTAATAGTACTCTTTCCACTTTTATATAACTGCCACATTTTGATATACAGTGATTCCAATCCACTCGCATAATATTTACAATCAAATAACGTGCTGTGCAAACGAGCATCCGCAACCTTCGCTCGAATATATCTGAGACTAAAAAAATATACATAAGTCAGTCTAATAATCGACAACCTAAAGGTACAAAGAGCACAAAGTAAATATAAGCATTCGCAAAGAAAAAAAATATATACTAAAAGGAGCATACAATTGCACAGCACACATACACAACCTTTAAATAAATTGTTTTAATTTATTAAAAATAAACATTAAAAATAGAGTATTAAAAACTACTGAATGTTGTTGAATTCGCTTCGCATTTTTATATAGCTACAGTGACAGCTAAAAACTAAATACGTTTACTCACTAATCTTTATTCCTGCCAAGTTTAACTGCTATGCCCACGTAATTGTTCCTGTCTTTAGCAATCAGTTCGGGACAATTAAGAGTTTTCAACAGCGACGCAGCAACTCTGAAACAAAAGGTCTTTACTTGTAAAAGCAAAAAGGTCAATCGCGACAGTACTTTCATTAAAACAGATGAACAATAAGAAATATACCTCGATGCTAAGGTAACCCCCGGCATTGTAACTATTGGTGTACCCGCCCATAGAATGTCCATAGCTGTGGTGTGTCCGTTACACAAAGGTGTATCTAAACATACATCAGCCAATTGACCCCTCCGTACATGTTCTTCCTTACATGCTATTTTAGAAAATATCACACGTCTGGGAGATAACCCTAAAAAAAAACACGAAATGCATTTCAATTAAAATTTATTCCCGTCAAGTGGGTTGCAGTTTTTTCATATTGACACACCTATCTTCTATATTTACACATCCTCTGCCATTCATGTGAAATCAATCTGACTGATATGAGATGTTAAGACGTCCCTTACACGCAATGATTTTACTATTTTTTTTTATATTCGTTCTTTAAATCAACTTTTCAGCGTGAAAAAGCGTGCTTTTTCCATTTTTTATATCAAAAAGGGTTATGTAATATTTAAAACTATTACCTAAGCTCTGTACATATCTTAAGATATTTGGTTCACCGGCAGGTGGAAAGCTTAAAAGCCAAAGAACGCTATTTGGCACCATTTTTAGTATTTCAACCCAAGTCTCCAAAATTTTGGGGTCAGTCTTATATAGCTGATTAAAATTACAATAAACTACCGCATCACTTGGAAGTCCATATTGCTTCCTTGAAGTAAATATTATATTGTCAACTACTTCCTGTCCTGATCCCTGCCTTTCATTACTAGAATTTATAAATTTACCGTTACAAATAGGTTTCCCATTTACAATAACCTGAAACAAACAATTTAATTAAACACGTTGTAGAAAATTTAAGAAAATATATAATTAAAGTGATTAACCTTACTACCTTATCTAATGTTGGATTTATTTCTATTTCTGTCACTTTTCTCGGAATGTATAATATATTTTCAACTATATTTATTGGTTTCAAGTTCTCAAATTTTATACATTGTTTCTCTTCACTAACAAGAAAAATTTGATTGATGTCGACGTTCTCTGGTCCGTTGATTATTGTTATGTTATCATAAATCGTCTCATCATCTTCAATTCTTACTTTGTATTGTTTAATTAAATGCGGAAACATTTGCTTATGATCACCGATAAAGTAAGTATGTGGCATGTAAGCAAATTTCTCACTAAAATCATTAACAGCTGATATAGGACTCGACGTTTCATCAGTTATAACATAGTCTATGTAATTTGCGCCACTAGTTCCTGGATATCCTAGCCACATAACCTGAATCGGTGCAGGCTTTATAGCAAAAATTTCGTTCCTTGCTCCCTTAGTGTAACCATTCATATTAATCAAAATGTGTATATTGTCATCGTTTATTTTTTTGGCTGCCTCCACGTTGCAAGTTATTTGAGACAAATCAACAAAATGTTCTGATTCTTGGTTTATCTTTCTACGGAATGTTGTACCATCATCTGGATTTAAAGCATAGCAAAATATTTCAAACTTAGATTGGTCATGTAATCCTGGTATGGATTGCATAAGATGTGATGTAGGATGATTCCCAAAATCGCTACTTACATAACCAATACGTAATCGGTCATAGTTTAATTCACTATAAGTAAAAGTTGGATTATTAACCATATTTACTCTCTCTGCATATAAATTCGCGTGCCTTTCTGCAATTTCTTTTCTTGCTTTATTTGATAATGGATATAAAATGGAATGGTGAGGATGAATCGACGGTAGTTTCTCTGAATGTAGTTGCTTTTCCACAATTGCTGTTATGTTTTTCATTCTTTCATCATAGCAATCCCAAATGCATATTAATTGGAAACAATGCGCTAAATTACAGTAGGCATCGGGAAAATCCGGTTTTATTTTTAAAGCATTTTCGTAACATGAAATAGCTTCCGAAATATTACCCATATCTTTTAAAATGCTACCTAGATTGCAATGTGCGTCAGCAAACGTGGGATTGAGTTCAATTGCTTTTTTGAAACATACTAACGCACCTCCTATGTCTTTTAATTCTCTGAACGTATTTCCCATGTTACTATAAGCATCAGCAAATTTTGGTTGAATGTTAATAGCTTGCCTATAATGCATTAATGCTTCATGTAGTTTACCTAAAATAGAAAATTATAATTTAATTTATATATAACTATTATACACGTTAAATAAAAATATTAAATGTAACTGGTTAAATACAAATAGAGAATTCATTTAGCATAATTGGACTTATGAAGTAGTTTTTAAAATGGGATTTAAAAAATGTATAATAAATTAACGCATTTAAAAATTATTAGATTAATGTTGTTTACAAAACTGACCTTGTTGTTGTAATAAGGAAGCCAAATTGCTATGCGTGGCGGCAAAATTAGGAAAAACTTCTAATGCTTTCATGTACAAAACAGTTGCCTCTTCAATTTTTCCTTGTTCCCTCTTAACATTACCAAGATTATTTAACGTATCGACGTGCGATGGGCATAAACGCAAAGCTGCGTTATAACAATCTTCAGCCTCTGACACGAGTCCTTTTTCTTTAAGTGCATTAGCAAGATTACAGTATGCGTCAGGAAAATTAGGTTGAAGCTCTATTGCTCGCTTGTAAGTGTCTATTGCCAGGTCTATAAGACCCTGTTTATAATAGACACACGCCAAAGTTCCATGCACAAAACCATTACCTGGCGTTATTTTAAGCGATTCGAGGTATACTGCCACTGCTCTAGAAAACAAAAAAGGAAACGGATCATTCAAACCTTAAATATATTATATGTTGCTGCAAAAATTATTACTGGCCGCTTTCTAATAAAACTTAGTTTTAAAAAGAAAGCTGTTATACTTTTTAATAACCTTTTATTACTTTTATAACAACGCACGCAAGTTTGTTAATCGCGCTTTATATCAAAGGTCCTTTTGATGTAATTATTTATGTGGCGTTTTTATTTCATTTTTAAGGTAAAAGGCACACCCACCCGTTTATAAAAATACAATTGTTTCTGAATAATTTTAAAGAACTTTATACTAGGACTAGCTGTCGCCTGGAGTTTTACTACTCATCGAAATTAATTTCCATTAAATAAAAAAATCATAGGTAAAACGGTTATATCAATCAATTCGTGACTTAATAAGGAAGTTACATTTTTATTTATTTATTACAAAATTAAAATCATAAAATCAACTAACCTTTTAAGCTTGTTTTTGAACCAAGCGATGCATCCATTGGATAGACCGGCCGCTTGCGATGTGAGACGCGGTGGTGCAATGTTGATAACAGTGTAGACGACGATACATTGGTAATCCATAACACGGGCATATCCTCGAGCGTTGCCGGTGGTGACTGAGAGCGGCGGACGCGCAGGGCTCACGGAAAAGTCGCCGCGTCACGAGAGACGCGCGCGCCTCGCTTGCCAACTTCCCCGGCGCGTCGTCTACGCAAACCACGACCTTCACTAGTCTGTTTATACTGAACTCACATCTGAAGCATATTTTACGCAATTTAATAAAGAGCTGAACGCTGTACGCACCGGTCATTTAGCTCTTGCGACGAAAATGTCTCTGCATTTGTAAAAGCGTAACAGTATTACTCTTCATCTTTTTAGACATCGCTTTCGTCAATTACCGACCCTGATAAATTTAAATCCATTGTAAACTTTTTGACATGTGAAGTTTAATAACATACGGAAACAGCTGGTAGAAATTGCGTTGTGTTTACAGACTGAATTTAGTGTCACAGATGTTGATAAAATGTATCAGAATAAGGACGCGGAGAATTACAATGATGTATTAAGGGACGTCACAGTAAAACTTTTTAAACAGCCATAAAATATTTACGTTTGGCAATAAAATGTTATACGTGGGTGTTACGATAATATCGATTTTCGGATAGCATCGACGCAGCGCGGCGTGGCGTCGGGACGGGCGCTGGACGCGACTGCGGCTTCCCCGCTTGATCTCGTCACTAACATTTCGATACTCTCGTTCCCGCACCTACGCTATTTTCCCCATATTAATTAATTATTCCATACATATTAATTAATTTATAACATGACCTATTTCATCAATTCCCTTATCAAATATTCATTATAAATTTTGTTTTAAATTTTAAATCATATGCCCACTGTATATATATGTACTTTTTTAATTTATTGTACTAAATAATTCATAGAGATTTATGTACAATACACCAAAAGATATATAGCTTAATATAGTGTATTGTATTTTTATATAGATATAGCAGAACATAGATCGTTGCCAAAATATCTCCGTAATCCAACAACGTAATTAATATCACAAAAATGTCGAAGTCAAATGTTCATTTGTATCATATGCATTTTTAAAACACTTTTTTTTCGAATTTTGATATATTTACCATGTTAAACTGAATTATGATTAATATTAAGGGAATTTTAAAAATCTATATAATCGCTTTATTATATAATCGCTTTATTGCACAGAAGTTTTTGTGTTTGATTATGCCATGGTTTTATTTAAAAAGCAAAGCAAACATCATTATTTCTAAGGCCGACGCCACGTTTACCAGAACGGGTCCCACTTCTGTTCTACTGACCTACATATTAATGAAGACGACGGTTGGTAACTTGTGATCCGTTTTGTTTACGTGATTGATTTGGCAGTTTTTCTTGAAAAGGAGAATTGTCCACCGGACTTGAGATCGCAGAGCGCAGATTTAGCATGAATCTCATTTGAATTTAAAATTAATTTAAACACTACTAATGTAAAATAAATAATAAAAACTGTTTATGAATTGACTGTCACATATATTACATAAAATTATTTATTACGAGTAATAATGAGTGAGAAATTATTGTTGTCCTTTAAAGCTTAATATTACGGATACAAACGCAATAATGTTTAGGAACCAACTAAATTTGCACATATAAATGTCGATCTGAAACAATGACGACGACAATAAAGAATTTTATCGATGTTGTAAATGATTTTTATTTACATCTTGTTACAATCGGGTTTGTAGCGGAATCTATCTTTGTTTGTCTACGAATGAATGTATACCGTGAGTTTCCACTGCGGAAACATTTACAAAAACTTGTCATCACTTTTCCTTAAAGAAACAGAGGTAGCATCTATCTACCTGTCTGTGTCTCTTTGTAATATTAAAAGATAAAATCCAGATTTCGGGATGATGACGTATTTGCGTTGTTGTCTGTCTGTCCGCAATCCGCGTTTGCTTCGGGTAATTACTTTTAATTGTTCTTCCTTTTGTATAATTGCGAAATTTGTTAACAGGTGGTCAATATTTGTAACTAAATTTAACAATAGCTATACAAGCGGCCATTCGGTGACTTGCCAACTTTCATACGATTTTGACGGATACACTACTAGCTATAAATAAATTCAAGAGGCATTGCCAAGGACTCTAATTTCTTACACATTTGTTGCCTTATTAATTTTAGTACAATAATTAAAGTTATAAAAATAGTTTATGTCTAAAACGACTAGTAAGTGATTTTTCTCGATGCTATCTGTTTTATATCGAAGTGGTTACAGTAATGTTAGTCTGCATATATTGCAGGCGTTATGGTAGGACACTGTTAGGCGACCGCCTAGGGCGCTGGGCAGAAAGCGACGGTAACACCCTCTTCTTCCAAAGCATGGTAAAACGAGTGCGCGGTAGATACCTCTATATCGAAAAGTATAGTGGACATTTCATTAAATGTTCTCCATTAAATGTGCACTTTACTTTCTTTAAAGAACGTTAAAACAAAACATAAATCAAACGAAGGAGATATAAAGACGGATACAGAGATTAATTATTTATTATTGCCTGAATCTCGATAAACCACCCATAAAAGACGCGAAAAGTCCAATATAAAACGTTTACAGAAGTTTTATTCGTTTTTTAGGTTTGTGTTTATTTCGTGATCGTTTTAATCATTGTACGTAAACGATATCTACACTATTATAATAAACGTAAACACACAGTTCTTTGTTGCCCAAGATGTCAGCAATTACAGCATGTTTTTGAATAATTATTTTTTAATAAAAAGTCCTACACTTACGTCACGCTTTAGGCTATATATTTTGACGCCATTAAACTTAGGAGGTAAATATTTTGGATAAAAACCCTAATGTGGAAAAGAGACCATAAGTTGCTGCCAACATCAAGGAAGCAAGGTTGCCATAGTAAGGTAATTAGTATTTTGACATTTGCTATTGAGAATTTGACAAATGTAAACAATAATTTTTTTTTATAATTTCATGCAGATGAAGCCGTACGGGAACAGCTATAAATAATAAAATTATTATTGGGATTTATTTTATATTTTTCTTGCAACTCGTAATAAAACAAATCAAGATAGGTAAGTATTACGTTGGATAATCTCAGTTGGCAGTATTGCTAGATTGGATAGCAACACGGTGGAAATTGCAATCTTGCAGTTCCATTAATATAATTGAACACCTGATCACTTGAGGTTTTATGTCCCAGTATCTACCACGGTAAAATGTACTTGATTTACTTGTACAAATTACATTTTCATATCATAAATAGTAGGTACATTCAAATTTATTAAAATTATTATTTTTGGTAATCACAATGATTAACCATATGTAGTATTAGTTAGTACCGTGTTGCTTTATCCGCATGGAACTATAAAAATTTGTTTTACAATTTACGAACTTTCAATTGCATATTTCAAAATTCCAACGACAACGAACCTTTGGCATTGGCTAACAATTACTGTTACCATGGCAACATTGCTTTTATCCTGGTTTGCATGTATTTTTTTACTTTCTACATGAATCTTTCCTGTAACCCTACAGGAGTTAAGTATTTTTTAAAAACATCCTGTTATTGCTGACACTCTACATATCGTAGTGTGTGTTAACGCTTTATTTTTTAAGTATAGATTTACACAAAAGTTAAAATGGATAAGATTAAAATCATTTACATCGGTCTTATTACAAAATAAAATGATATTCCTACAGCAGCAATGGTTTACGCAAATTATTTAGTGCTACCAAGTGAATTATCGTAAGATTTTCTGCAATCCCCAAAAAAAAATCTAGCGGAAAACAGGTATTACTTTTGAATATATCTGTTAAACAGTGGCAGAAATGTTTAGCAAGCCGCTGTCTTAAGTAGCACTCACACGTCCATTAATAAATCTGCAGCTGCACGTTCCTTTTGTATCTTAAAATATTTATACAGTCATGTGTGTGATTAAACGATAAAATATTCTTCAAAGCCCTTCGACCGCCGCACGACCTAATTCCAATCTATTGCATTATTTTAGTTTAAAAATTAATACCACGTCTTTTGGCAGTATGCCTAAACCACCGTACTTTAAAACTCTCTCAAGATAAACTCTAACCAACGGATGCTATTTCATCGTTTCATTTTTTTACATACTAATAATTTACACTTGCTGGGCATGTTCCAAAATATATTTGTTTAATCTGTGAAACATATTATTTTGTTTTTATGTTAAATAAACAAACTTTCTAATAGTACCATTGAGATTTAAAGCATAAAAAGTTTAGTGGAATTCGGTTATAGGTGTGAGAAAAACTATTTGCTTTTTAATTGAACTAGAAGTTATAAATTTTATTGTATTAAACAGTATTATTAGAGAGTTTTACCAAGTGTACGTGGTTATCTTTAGATTGAAGGAGCAGAAATCTTAAAAATATTATAAAATATAAATAAGATTTCTGCTCCTTCATTGTAAAGATAACCACATTTATATGCGAAAGTTTACCTGGAAGGATGGATGGATATTTGTTAGAGTTCGTAGCGTAAACGGCTGAATAGATTTTGATGAAATTTCGTACAGATGTAGATGGCAGTCTGGAAGAACACATAGGCTACTCACTTTTGTTGTTTTTTTAATTCAACGCGGACGGAGTGGCGGGCGAAAGCTAGTGTTTTGTAAAGTCTAAAATGATGTCTACTTTTTTAATGCAGACACATCTATTTAAAAAAGGGATCATTTACCTAAGAAATTTTAACAAACAAAAAAAATGCATGATTCCAATGAACTTGATATCGATATCGATTCTTGATATAAAATAATATTATTTTATCATATAGTAATATTTATAATTTACAAATACTATAACATTAAAAGATTTATGGTCGGTTTCCCAATTACATTTAACCATTTAATACTGTTTTTGGTCCGATAACTACATGAAATGGGTTTCCGAACTACGTAACTTGAGTTTTACTCCGTCGAAGCTTAGGGTAATCTAACACTAATTAATAACTAGGTAATCTTACTAATGTTATAAATGCGAAAGCTCAGATGGATGGATTTTTGTTAGAGTTTGTAGCCTAAACGGCTGAAGGGATCTCGGTGAAATTTGACGTAGATGTAGAGGATAATCTGGAAGAACGCAGAGGCTACTTGCTTTTTTTTAATACCGCGTGGACGGAGTCGCTGGATAATGCTAGTAATAAAATAAATAGAAACTTCAGCGACCGAGCACTACAAAAATGAAACAACATTATTAAAGCAGTAACTGTTTATTTAAATTTTTATAATTTGGGATAATATATCGGAATATTATATCTAAAACTATAATTTGTAGATATACATTAAAACACATCTAGTAATAATTTCTAGAAATATTGGCATTCTAATTTTCGATATTCATCTATAAATATTTTTTTTTTTCTAAACTAGTCACAATAAATCTAAAAATATAATTTATTTAAAAAGTTACAATAATCTTAGCAGCAACAATTTCTAAAATTATGTAAACAGTATTTCACTGTATAAATATACACGCTATAGTTGGCGTGGGCATAGCAACACTTATATTTGGCTAATGCTTAAATTAAAAAGATTTTGTTGTTAGTATCCAACTATTGGCAAATGCCGTTGGCCTTCGGTGCAATTTTGTTTCTAGACGTTATTATCAACCATCCGCGTCGACACGCACGAGGTACACGTCTGAAGGTTACGCTTGTTTCTGGCTCATATTAAATATGAGATTTTTTTATAACATTAGGTAGCAAACGAGCAAGCGGCCACCTGAATTCACCGAAATGGACCGACCACTGCCCATAGACATCCGTAATTGCGGAAGCGTTGCCTACCCTTAATTGACGGAGCAGGAGACGCCCATAAAGAGAAGATTTCCCCTTCCTATGCTTCTCCTCCATCGTCAAATCCACTTATCCTTCCCATACTTTCCTCTGACGAAAAAGGTGGAAAGGGAAAGGGACTAAAATTAGGCCCCGGTACTTGATTGAATTGTAAGTACATTTTATTTTAGTTACCAAACTTTATATTGGAATTGTTATTGCTCACGAGACAGTCCGCAACACAATCTTATGGGTGTTAAATGCAATAGATGGCACCTTATTACGAATACAAGCAATAACAGGTACTACCATAATGATTAATTCTTATAAATGCAATCATAAAGTGAGTGCCTTCAAGAGAAGGGTGAATGGATACTTATGTATTAGCGCGTATACCATCCTTCGACCACATTACCACTTAACTATAGGTGGGATCGTGGTTAAGCGTTGATTTTAAATATCATAAAGAAATTCTATACATCATTGTCCTATGCAAGCAATAAAAGTAACGCTCACCCAATACGTATAGCAAGATAGATCTATGTAGGACGCAAAAGCTACTATTACATGGCACTGCTATATTATAATTTCGGAAGAAGAATCTCTGCACTACTATTAAACAATTTTGTAAACAACTAACTAGTGAATAAAATTATCCTATAGACAATGTATATTAAAAATACGGTATGTATTACATATAAATAAAATCAACAGAACAACTATGTTGATACTCTACAATACTATTTCTTCTTTCCAATATTCGTTTAACGCAATTATATTATGATTGCACGAATTACAAATAGTGTAATTAATGGTGAACGCTTTTGTATTTACCTTACAAATTTTCATACGAATTAATTAATGAAAATCAAACTTAATTATTCGATGTTTCACAGGTAATTAACGCATTACTCGTTTGTTATTTTGAAAATCCAACGTAATTATCTTAAATGATGGTAAATATGTAATAATTTTGAAACACCAACAATAATGTATATGTTCTACATAATAAAAACTACCCTACACAAGGTTGATATAACAATTATTTATTGTAATAGAGAAAAAACATTCTAGCAAATTTACATGAAATGTACCTATTGGTCATTGTTAATCACCACATAATACTTAATCTTTGTTGTAGTTTCTGGCAAATCTTTGTTGTCAATTTCGTATTTGTCTATAAAACATAATTCAATACTGTGTTAAAGAAATATATGAAGTATCTCTATTTAAAAATCCATTTGCAAGACTAGAAACAGTATTATTTTTATCCGCTGAACGTCACAAGCATTTACATCAAGACATTTATTTCAATGATTCAGTTTTTAAAGAATTAGCTTGTTCAGAGTTCGGTGAACTTCCTCCAGATGTGCTTTGCGGACTTTTTTCGTTGACCTGAATGAAACATTAAATCAAATATTAATATTGTAATGACCCAGCTTTAGCCGCGTCTCCGTCCTTGTTGAATTAAAAAAAGACAAAAAGGTAGCCTACGTGATCTTGCAGACTATGTTAAATTTCATCGAGATCCGATCCGAGTAGTTTAGGCTACAAAATCTGACAAACATCCGTTCATCTAAATTTTCGCATTTATAATATTAGTAAGAGTATAGTAATTAAAAACTTCACTTAATTCACATAAATGACTAATCCCATTTTCCCTGTCTTATGATTTTATATTTTTATTTCTTTATATTTTAATAAGACATCGCTCAGAAATATCAAAATTCTTTGAAGATAACATGGCTGACGCAATCCTTCGATAACGGAAATACGCTTGTACACCGCAGGAAATCCCGTTCATTTTATTTCAAAGGAAATTGTTGGAATTCTTGATGTCAAACTGCGGACTATGTTAGAATCTGCGATATTAAATCACACAGCATAAAATGTTTATGATCGAACTATCTGATCGCTAAATCTGCGCTCACATCGTTAGTCATTGCCGATAATTTTATTAATAGACTTTGATTACGTCACTTGGAGCTCTCGAAATCGGAACGCTTATTGAAGGTAACCCAATACCAAGGTGGTTAGAAGCAATCCTCTCAGAAATTGAGAATATTTCATTTTGTTTAAAAATATACAACACCAGCTAGATAGCTGCTAAAGGAAGAAGATTTTTAATCGAGTAATTATTCTGTAAAATTATTCATTCCATGCTTTTATTAGTTTCGTAGACTGCAGATAAAACTTGGAAAAACGTCTATTCTATTTATTTAAACTTGTAAGTAAACCGTTTCATTTAATATTCCTAATGATAAATGAATTTGAATATCTGAGTATTGACGTGACGTTATATTTATTCATAATCCAGAAAGAGAGAAAGCAGTTTCGAAATACGAATTCATCAAACTGAAAAAAAAACCGTAACTCTTTTTTTTTCAATAAGCGGTGAATTTGCAAAATTAATTCAGCCGTGTTTGAGTTAACATGTTTACTCGAATCAAATTTACAAACCAATCATTCAAAATCAACTATAGCGCGAAAAATTCTGATTTTCAGAATTGAGAGAAGGATAAATATTTCCAGAAAAGTTATTTATGAATAATCGCGTTCGTATTTTGTGAATTTATTTATCATCACCAATTAATATATTGACGAAAGCTGAATTTATACTAAAAAGCCTACGTAATGTGAAAAAATGTCACAAACAAGAAAATTTATACCGAAATAACCAAGGCGGTTTTATTTATGTGCACGAAAACGTACTAGACATATTATCAAACAATGACGTAAGTAACGTCTACAGAACTGTTTCTAGCCGAAATTGAACTAACAAAATGCATGTTTATTCGTTTGAATTGATGGGGAAGGACATAAATTTATAAACATCGATCTATTATAGATTTTACAAAGGCGGAGAATAATTAGTTCATACTTATACTATTGCGTTATTAAGATTTTGAGCAGCTTTTAAATATCAAATTATCAAACCTGAAGTATCAGAAGTCAGTCATTCATTTGTATTTATATGAATGATTTTTAATCCCTTGTACCCTGTACAAGAAATTAGTGTTTATTATTTTTATCTAATCTGACAAATAGGGTGACAATAATTACCTGAAGTCCCGTATGCAACATATTGGCGATCGTCTCTACATTAAGTGTAGAATCCTGTGCAGAGATCTTTTTTATCGCCGAAGAAACAATGCAGATATCACCTCGCAGTTCGCGCACTAAAGCTGTTATCTTTTGCGCATTGCTCAGTACTTCCACGCTTTGCGTGTATGGGTTGTAGCGAACGCCGAAGGGACGTTGGATGCTTTCAGCAAAGGCTCTGGAATAATAAATAAAACGTTTCTCGTTAACCATCCAACAAGTTTTACATCGATATATTTAGGCGGCTCCTTTTTTCGGCGAATTTAATAAACACGTTCTAGAAAATCTTTAGCAATATAAAACTTAGAATAGTATATTATTAAATCGTAGCTGAAACTTAGATTCTGTGACAATCATACTTCATTGTACTATTATAAATACAAAAGATAAGATGGATGAAGGTTTGTTTTGTTTTGTAGCCTAAACGGCTAAACAGAGATCGATGAAATTTGGCATAGATGTAGAGAATAGCCTGCAAGAAATCTTAGGCTACTCACGTTTGTTTTTTTTTAATTCTACGCGGTCAGAGCCGCGCGCAAAATCTAGTGATGATGTATCTGTACAAAAAAAAAATTAAACGACAGTGAATGTAATTACCTCATTTTTTCTTTAGCTTCCTCGAATGAGTCGGTATAATAATATGCATTTTGATACGATGTTATAATACACTCTTCATTCACAGTAACATCGGGATCGAAGCGTTTTATTTTGCCAGGGGTAGCCAAAGCGTGCTGCAGTTCGGCAACGGATGACAACAAGCCAGCGCCGTACACACGGAAAGTACCATCCAACTGGCGACATAACCCAAACTCCACGGTGAAGAAATACAACTGAAAGAAACATGATATACGGAATTTATTTTTTAAACTTCAAATCAACGTAACTTTATCATTTATTGACTCTAAGCAACATAGTATTATATCTAGGTTTATATTATAGTATAGCCTCTTGATTAAATTAAAAGAAATTGCAAATGAACTATTTTGATTGTAAAATTAAAATGCTTTTAGCTATATGTTACCAAAGCTAGTAGATTAGTCATAGTGTGTCTAAATAATTTAGATTAGTTTGACAATTCACTTCAAATTTAGTAGAGATGGGTTGTGTAAAATCAGTCATGAACTTTATCGATTTTCGATTTTTATTCTTATAGAAGTTGGAATCGATAGATTCATAGTTATAACTTATGAACTGATAAAAAACACTGTTTTCTCAAATTAATAATGACCATGACAAATAATGACAGTAAATAAATGTTTATTACTATTGCAGCTGTACGTAATCTAATTGGATTTCGCTAAACTCTCTACACTATAATCAATAATAGAATTGTCCTCTAAATTAGTTTATAAGAAAATAATAATTTTAGTTGAGTTCGATAATCATTTAAACCAAATATCGATAGTCCACAATTGTTCGCTGCGTGTTTGTTTCGTCACTACCATACCTGTCTATTAAGTAAGGCATTTGCCTTCATACATTTTGAATTCGATACTTCATATGCGTCATTAATCAAACTAATCTAATTTATTTAGACAAACTATAACTTTCAGATTTCAGTGTTAATTTAACCTTACACGAAAAATTAAATTGTCTTTACTGATTGTTTAATTCATATATATTTCGACGTAGAAATTCAGGTTTGTAAGTTCGTTTAACAGATCTTTTAAGTTACAGTACAGATAGGGAATTATAGAAATTTAATTTCAATAGTCTAAGTGGATTAAAACAATATACCCAATGAAGAAAAAAAATCATAAGTGTTCCTTTCAGTAGACTTGTTGTTTTAATCGATAAGTAACTATTCAACTATTCCAGTCACGATCGAAAGCTACAGCGGACGGGGCATCTTAATTTTCTTGTTCATTTTACACTTTTCATTCTCTAAAAACTCTAGATAAACCGATCTCTTTGACGTTAACACATTTTTGTCGTGGCATTTTTATTACGTCTTTTTAATTCTAATATGCAGTTACTTAAGATCGAACATAAATCAGCATTTTAAAAGATAAATAGATCGTCTTGGTAGTTGTAAACAAAACGTTCGTTCTTCAAGCAAAGTTTACATTTCAATAGTAATATTTCAATGTCCGATGCGAAATGTATTGCGACCTTGAGATTTCGTTAACTCCATATTTCATTTTACAGCAAAGTTTTGCTTGTGTTTGAAACATAAAAATAGTTGATATACACGTTTTCAACATGTGTTTTATGTTTTAAAATTATTACCTAGATTTACTCCAAATCTGTATACTAATTATACGTTGAGAGGTAACTTACAGTAACCATTTTACTTTTTCCCTCAAATAGAAATAATAATAAATCATAAACAAATTCAAATAAACAGTTTTAAATAAATTGAAATTAAATTCTATGTTAATATTTATGCCAATGTTTTCTTGTTCATAAATTAACTTTGTGTAAAATTACTGTCCTTTTTAATTTTACGTGTTATATATTTCTTCCAATGGATGAATGGAATGACTCACTGGAAAATCAGGTTAGGGCAAACGATTTTAAAATAACACGCTCTGTACACAAACGTCGATTTGAAATTATATGGTGAGTCATATTATAAGATTTGTTTTTCGTAGCTGTTACGTTTATATTGTAATATTACTGTGACCACTTACCGTCGCCAATTTATCAATATCTTCATCGGATGCACCGAGAGAAGCAAGGCCGAGTTCTTGAGAGAACTGAGCAAAGCTTGGATTGGCTAGAAGAGGCATGTGACCGAGCAGCTCATGACAACAGTCACTGTAAATTAAGAAATAATACTTAGTTCAGTATCGCAAGATCATGAGAGGATCGCCTGAACATAATGTTTGATTTTGCGTCATTATTTCATAGGAAATGTATTCGCTTCGCTACTATTGGTTCTGAAAGAGGACATTACCGTCAAATTCCACTGCCAAAACAGTTGTGTTAAATAGTATCTATATTTTTTTTAATAATGGAATATTTTGATAGTGGAAGTACAAATAGGCTTTAATATTTAAAGTCATATAAGCTGCATGCATTGTTAAGGGCTTTGTACTTACGGTTCCGGTGTATAAAAGGGGTCGGAGGAATGGCGTATGTACTGCGTGCAATGAAAAACACGGAACGCTAAACCGGAAAGGAAATCCCTCGGCGATAGATATCCCGCCACGGGACGCAATTGAAAGCCGGTTTTACGTTTTAGAAATACGCTCACATCTTCCAACTGTGAATACCAAATATAAAAATTATTTCATTGATACAAAGATTACAGAAATAAATTATTAATACACGTGTCGACCGTTGTTGGCAATTTTTTTTTTTAACCAATACGTAAACCCACTGCGGGTCAAAGGCCCCATTACTTATTATGTTGTATTTGTGGCAGATTATTTCAGAATATACATTAAATTAAGAGTAACTGAATGATTTTACCGCCTTATATACTTCTTACATAAATTTACCTAATACTCAAAATACGAAAAAAAAACTTTCGCTTGAGACTCTATCCGCGAAAGATAAACCTAATTTGTAGCCTATGTGTGAATCCAGACTATGTTCTACATCTAAGGCATTAATTGAGATCCGGTCAGCCGCTTCAACTGTAAACTCTAACAAACATTCCCCCATCAATTTAAAATTTCACATTTATAATATTAAATAAGATAAGATAGTGTTAGCGCTATAAACGAAACTACATTCTAATGTATCCCTACACTAAGTACCTACCCAGTTTTGTTGACTCTGAACTCACGATGTTGTGGTATAAGATCTATCTACGTGACCTGACCTTATCAAACTTCTAGATTAGCTAGTAGGTAGTGTTTGGAACAATAATTATTTCAAGCGTTCTCTTAACTAGTTTTGTAACTAAATTTACAAGTTGCTTATACCTGAGGCAAGTTGTCTTCCCTGTAACCGCAATATTTAACAAGTTGCGGCCAATTTTCTAGATATTCAGCGCAGGCGTGTTTCTGATAGAGCTTGTGCAGTTCGCGAAAAACGATGCCCCTTAAACATATAAAGAAAATATTGAAACAGATGACACGAAACCCCAAAAACAAAGCGAAAGAAATTATACAAGTAATCAATGGACATTAAATAGGTCGAAATTCCGTTTTTAAAATCTCGAAGACTCAGACCCGAAACTCGTCTCATTTGAGCTTAGAATTATTGACAATACTTTGGTTGTGACATGAAATCACATTCATAAAAACCGCTAGACTTTCGATTTTAACTATAAGTTTTAACTGAACAGTTAAAGCTGTGCGTGTAGGCAAAACTTTAACTGTACAGTTCAACTGACAGTTACGATTTTTACCTGAACTTTTCCAATGATGTGTTATAACTGGCAGTTAGAATTGAGTGTATTTAGCGTGTTTTGAAAATAGTGTTACATTTCGAAAAAAATACAATGCATTTGAAATTAGTGCAGTACATTGCACAAAAAGTAAAAATAATATGTAATAGGTAGATGTCACAATTATTTATAAGATTATCAGAAAGTGTAAAGAAAGACAAGTAATTTATGTACTCGCATTGTCATTTAACATTTCTTAACTAAATGGAACATTTATAAAATTGTAATTTAAAATAAAAGTTCAATAAGATCTTACCATGTTTTGATCTCGGTCTCCGTGTACTGTACTCTTGGAATTGGTTGACCACTGTAATATTGACAAAGCCAGTAAATTAATATATATATTAACAACAACTATAGTTGTTAATTTTTTTTCTATAATACAGAATATTTTCTTGACAGACATTTTTCGCTAACGATGTCACATCATAGTAGAAAAGACTAATAAAGAATTGGCGTCTCTAGTGATAATTCCTGTCATAAGCACAATGAGACTTTCTCCATAGTGCCCTTAGAAAGCAATGTAATTAATAATGGTTATACTCACTATTTATAACTATTAGCAATAGCAGCAAAGTGCTCACGACGTTTCCTGTAGATCGGATCTTTGAATCCTGGATGATCAGCATCTAATTCCGAACCATACATGAGGACGTTCTGAGCACGATCCAAATCGGAAATCTTTCTTGGAAACCAAGGCATTTCGCCAAAATCTAAAAACAATCAACGTAAAATATACCATCATGTAGTGAGTAAATAATGTTTTATTATTAAGAAAAGTGGTTTACCAAAACTAGCAGCTGCCGAAAGCGGTGTTGGGGGTGCAAAGTCCTCACCCATTTGTGGTGCAACCACTTCGAATTCTTGTACTTCCCGTTTAAGCATTCGCTTCAATTGCTCCATTCTGTGAGGATCACATTCAACATCGACCAAAATATCAGACTAAAACAATAAAATTTTATTTAATAATCTTTAAAACAATTATAATTATAAAATGCAACAAAGGATACTAACTGCGGAGATCTCCGTCATAGATTTCCTAGATTCGATATGAAGTACGTTTATTCCTAAATCTTGGAAGACCGATAGAACTTTTACTAGCCCTCCCACTTGATTTTTTAGTGTAAAAATTACGGAAATCCTCTCTCCTTCATAAGGATGAGGAACGTGATGAGTATTCTCTAGCTTAGGATGATGAGTTTCATCCTTTAGTTGCCAATCAGAACCGTTTCTATACAACCACAAACCGAGTAGTCCTTTTCCAGATCCACTCATTTTTACGTAAGACCCTTAAAGATACGTCAATGAAGAAACTTTCAATATCGCAACAGTCTTCTAATATAATAAGGGATGTGTCGCTGCAAGGGTAGGAGACAAACTGCGCCTCACTCGTGCCTCCGTTCCCTTTATAAAGAGAAGAGGCGCGGGAGACTTGTTGGAGGGTGGGTATATTTGATTGGCAGAATCAAGTGTTCGGTGTAACTTGAAAAATCTTCGCAGACCGTTAGGACGCGTTCACACTTGTAATAATTATTTATATAATAAAAATATTTATGCTATAAACCTGATATGCAGTACGTGGTTTTGGCTTATAAAATTAAACAACTTAATTGAAGTTATTAAAGTTTTTAAATTCTTAGATCCTGAAAACTGATGATAAATACATATATTTTTCGTGAAAGCTAAATGAAGACTTGCCTTACTCATATTTAATTTGTACCAGTGCAAGTTGACAGTGTTAAGACGAATTACTAAAGGAAATTATGTTCTATTACGTAGATACATTTATCTAAATCCTTACAACTAATCTCAAGGCAGCACTCACACTTGTCCAGAGAACATAGAATACAAATCAGGGGGAAGCTACCTACGGCGGTCGGGTAACGGGTGTTAAACGCGAAAGTCACTGTATTTATTACCATTGTTTAGCGAAAAGAGCATCCGATATCATTCATTATCCGGCGGACCTTGCCGTTTCTTTTATCTCAGTGAAGTTGTATAAACTGATGAATCGAAATGATTCGGGCCGTTAAAATAATCAAATATTTATCATTTTGTTTATGTCGCGTTTTTTTTTAACTAGTGGACGCCCATTGGTGGAAATTTAATCATGATTCATAATCCAAGATTCTTCACATCAAAATTGTGTTTTAAACTTAGTATTTATTATTATATTAGCAAAATTATTATCTTTAATTGAGCCATTCTTAGAAATTATCTGCTACGCTAATATCAATATTCAAATGAAATTTAATATCAAAAGCATTTGAAAAACATAATACATTAACAGTTTAACGAGGCGTATACTGTAAAACGATAAGGACATTAAGCGGATTGTTCTATTGTGATAGTCACGCTACGCTAACATGAGGGCTTTATCATAATGATCTTTTTGTACATACATGCTTTCTCGATCTGGAGCAAGTATACTGTATGTCTCATGTAATCCTCAAGATAAAATGCCAGAAGCCAACCAAATTGCAGGGTACACCGCCGAACTTGCTCCAGATCGAACAAGTTTGTCAAGCATGTACTTACATGCTAATAGTATTTAAACAAAGAAGTTCTCAATCATCAACTTGCCCTTATCCCTTATGGAGGGTCGGCACAGTTTGTGCTTCTCTTCCATACATTTCTATCAGCCGTCACATCTGAATCCACTCCCTTCTTAAGCATATCGTCTTTTACGCAATCCATCCATACTTACATCGGTGTTCCTCTTCCTTTGAAGCCATCCACATTCATTCTTAACACTTTCTGGTTTATGTCCCCATCGTTTCTTCGCAGAGAAGTTCTTCATATCCTTAAAATATACATTTTGCATTATAAAAAGTAGTAATTCTAAAACTTTTATCTAAAAAATCGCTTAGTTTAAATGTTTAATTTTTTTGTTGGCCGTTTGGCAGCCGCCCAGACAATTACATGCATCTGGCAAAAAGTAACGACTTACCTAACAAACAAGTTATAGCTCCGACAAACCATAAATATCCTTAGTTCCGTGCTCGAAATAGTATGCTATTGTATAAAAGTATCCCAAAAAATAACACACTCCATTACGTAAACGTCACAATTCTTTGAAGGTTTTTGGGGTATTTTAAAAAATCAAACGCTTTTGTAGATATTCCGAAATTACTTGGTAATTTGTACTTATTCATTCTAAATACTTTAACGTATTGATTCATTAGAAATATGTTCGACAGTACATACGAAATGTAAATAAAATAAATCTTGATTTATATGCAAAAAGGATAACTTTGTTCGTTTTTGAACTCGCAAACTAAGTCATAAATTCAATCATGAATAAATCATCTTCAATACGAAATTCAAACGTCCTTTGATTACTAACGGAGCTTTTAATTCAATTTCCTCGGAGACGTCTACGGGCTCTTTCAGATTTTCAATGAATAATGGTTTATTATTGTATGTCAACATTATCTTCATCCCGCTTGGGACGGATTCAGAATAGCCTTTGTCTAGGAATACACTTTCACTTTTTTTATGATTAAAAAGCAATATATATTCTCATAACTTGATTTTCATATAACTCATATTATTTTTCTTAATGGAAGCAATTAAGAGATAGTTGGAATTGATTTCCGCTTGTAAATAATGTTGTTGAATGAAACAAATCAATCACTCCACCGATATTCTAATTATTTTCTCTTTTGAAATTCATTGCTTATTCTTTTTTGAGTCTTAGAAACAACAACTTCAGAGCTGTTCATTTGTGCATATCCTGTTACATTGTCATTGTTCTGGCTTAGAAGATACCTTTAAATGCATTTAACAAACAATAAAAGAGGTAAATTTGAGAATCAAAGAAAAAACTAAACAGTCCATCGTTATTATAACAAAATCGATGTTTTACACACCATACTAATCGAGAGCTCGACTAAGCAATCCGAATAAGTCTGTAGTGTGTGGGGGGCCTTAAAATAATAACGTTAACAGTATAAACTAAAGTTAGTACCGTCCTTGATTTTCAAACTAACGAAGCTGCGAGAAATTCGCTTTTGCTCTTTCAAAACATGCATTCAATATGGCCGGGAGAGGGTCCGGATGTAATGTCAAGGTCGAGTGAAGAGCGACCGAAGTATTATTGACTCGCTGATACAGTTTGTTTATTTAATTGAATTCAAAGACTGTACACGAAATCATTGCTAAAAAATATTGTCCGGAGTTTTAGAACGTATTTGTATCGAGTTTAGTATTTTTTTTAAAACACATGGATAAAAATGTAGTTAACGTTACTTATATTATTTAAAAGTATTTACAATGAATTTAAATTATACCTTATTTTATATATGTGGAAAGGTAGAGTTTCACAGAATTATCAGTAAATTCAAAAAGAAGTACCCACTTAAACAAACTTGAGTTTAATTTCAAAGCTCTATCCATTCTTTACTGCAATAGTTTTTTTGTGGAAGTAATTCAGTTCACATTTTCTTCTGAAAGAAAAGACATTTTATTGAAGTGTCCTTAGGAATCGGAATGACAGAAGCTAACAGGGTAGGGCTTTAGATTGTTTGTTTTCCTCTTAGGTCTGGCACTGGCGACTCCTTAGTGGATAAAGACGCCGAGCTATTCAAACATTCCATTTTTAAAATAAGATATCCATCACCATCTCTTTTGTTTTTCTTGCAATTTAACTCATCGTTTCATGAAAAAAATAATTAGTAGCGCATGCCAAGCCCAATCTTAAATATCATTTTATTTCATTATATTAATACTGCTTCTTAACTTAAGAATACAGATATATCATGTGAAATAACTTTATTAAATATTTGATAATGAATAAAATGTAACACCACGAACATTTTTTAAAATTCTAATTAAAAAATCGCTGTTCATTAAAAAAAGTCCAATTGGAATTATTTAAGCACAAAAAACTTTCAATAAAATTACACATTATTATTTTGAGTTTGAGAATCGAACCTGCTACCTACTCCGTAATAAGTTACTCATTCAAATCGCTGGAGGAGTTAAAAAGAGTTTATTGGTAATCCAAATACAATATGCAATCAAAAGGTCACGTTTCAAAATTGAAGCGCGCCAATTTAGAGGAAGTGATCGCCTTGTCAACATATAGTCATAACTCGAACTTGATTTTGACGGATTGTACGCTGATTCATAAAATATACGATGCCAGACCGTGTGTTTGAAGGGTGCGAATATACGTGGGGATGGCGAGTTAAGGGATGCGCGCGCAGGACATTGACGCATGCGCTCTGTGAATATGTCTCTAGAATTCCCAGAAGTCGGTCGATAAATGGAAAGTGCAGAGGGGCGCGCATGCGGACCCCTCTTTGAAAAGAATCAAGTCTAATAGCGACATGGCTGACAGCGAGTTCGAAGAATTTCGTCGAGTTTTCGATAAATTACCACAGCATATCAAAGCCCCATCATCATTTTACTCGTAAGTAGTCTTTCTTATGTTAATAACAAAAAAAATCTCACCTTACCCTTCAGTAATGAGAATGTTTTACCTGGTGACGACCTCTTAGAAAAAAAAAATAAAGATAAATGTTAACATGTTATTATTATTTACTGAATTAGATTTGCTTTTATTATTTTTATAAGATTGGTGCCAAATGTGGGATTGGTGGACGAATCACCTTCATCCAAAAGTGATGGTTCACCAGAAGATGATAAAGGCGGCGTTGGAGATGCCGAAACGGTAAACGGTTCAACAGGAGCTGGAGAAGCGTCGGCTGTAAACCAAGGCGACGTCACAGATTCACAATGCAGTCCTAGACATCAACACTTTACCAACGGCGAAAGAAAACGAAGAAAACTCCCAGAGATCCCAAAGAACAGAAAATGTGAGTTAATTGTTTTTATTTATGTTTGATTACTATATAAATAACCTCAGTTAAGGTAAAGGTCGTGTTGGAGGCTGGCGTTATTTTTACATTTTGCTTCTGCGCTCTGCGATTTTTGATGAATAGATATTTCAACGAACACGTGTAACTTTGTACCTTCATTGTTAAGCAATTGCGACTATATATCTCAGTGTATTAGTTTTACCATTTTACATACAGTTTAAACGATATTTAACATAAACATAGGGTTTAATCGTTTTTCCACTGCTACCAAAATAATTTAAAATGATTGAGTAATATGTTAGGCATTCCCCATTGTAGGACTGGACGAATGTTAGTCACCAGTACTTAATTATTAAAAAATTATAATGATGAAATTATTTAGAAAAATCAACAATTGTGAAACCATAGTAAGGCATACAATTGCTATAACAGAAATGTGCAATCACCTTTTTTATTTTTTGTTAAATAAAATAAATAAATAAGGTGTCACTATTAAAATGTCAAAGTCCATCTAGACATGGGACAATGAAATATGTAAAATCTACTTAGAAACAGTCTTTTAAATAAATGACAATCAAGGATATCTAACCCTGTGCGAGAGTAGCTGCCATTGGTTGATTATATCAAAAATGTAATGTATAAAAGCTCCATGAACATAGAAAATGACATAACAACTAATGGGCTAGCATAATTTTGTTTGTCTAATATCTATCGGCTCAGACACAATACATTTTTTTTAATATATATTAAATATTACAGATGACGAATTCTTATTTATCAATTTATATAACGGATTGCAGAGTAAGTCGCTAAGGACTAACCTAAATTGAAAAAAAAAATAAGGGGTCCAACTATTAATTTGAGAAATACTCTATCTTCAACGATAATTCCAAAGTTAAAATCTTAAAATAAAACGTACTCCGCACTCAAAGGCCGACAACGCAACAGAACTTGCAGTGGTGTTGCTAATATAAAATATAATGTTTAAATTTGACGCCGCGATAAATATGTTAGGTATAAGCGGATTAAAGAAAGATTTAAAAGATTTTAATAAAAAAATCATGATAGAAGGGGAAATCCAAAAATACTTAAAGATATAACAGTTGAAAATAGTAACTGACTACCTTGATCTAGTTTACTTATAAATGACATCGGCGTTGTCTCTTGTTTACAATATAGATTTTGAAACAAATTGTTGCTTGAATACATTGATAAAAAAACAACTTTTGCTTTTAATTTATTTTGCTTTTACCTTGAACCTAATGTCATATCATATCAACAAATTATTCTTGGAATAAACTTGAATGGAATGACTATCGCTCTTAATAACTCGTCTAGCTTTTTAGGCTATAAATTACTATAAAACGAACAAATACATACGAAATTCTAGACTATTCAAAGGGAAATAATCGTTCTTTCAATTAACTATTTATTTTATTTTGGTTTGGAAGGTCATATCTTAGTGGCTTTATTCAATGACTTAATAAACTTTTCAGCTACAGTCATGGGTTCAAATCAGCCCGCTTCGCTGGCAGATGAGTTAGGGGCCCTAGCCGGTGGCATTGTTCGCCCAGGAGGTCAAAGTCGACCTCTGTTAGTATTGAAATGTGGATACCTCCTCGATGAAGACTCAAGTCCGGATTCCGAAAGACTGCAAAGTCTAGGGGATGTCGACAGCGGTCATAGTACTGCCCACTCTCCCATCGATACCGGCCCAAAGAGTTTATCGCCAACGCCACTTCAACAAAATGGTTTGTGTTGCACTCACAATTTATTTGTGTTTGATTTATATGTAGGTGTATTTCAGAGTGTTCTTTATGTTTAGACAAACAATAATAATCATTTCAGTGCAATTCGTGGATGCTTACCAATTTTCGTCAAATTGGGGTATATAACAAAACAATTTAATTTTCAACGCTTCATGCCCATAGCAAACACTTTAACCATTGACATCTAGAATAATTGGCTACGTATTCACATCTAAAGCTGTCTTTTGTAAGCCACGCTTGCCTTTTCCTGCAACTAGCGCATCAAAATTAGCAGCCTCTGCTCTGGTCGCATGTAGTCGTGTGTTGTGCACTGGAGCAACGTTATTTTTAAGTGATTCTATTAATAATGCTTTAATTTCAGAAGCATTGCAACTTTGCGTTTTTGCACTGTTATTGAGCTTAATTAAATCGATTCTAATTAGTACATAGTTATAATGTTCCAAATAATTTCAGTGTCACCGACCTCAAGCTGCAGTATCAGTGGCACTAATTACTCGGGCAATATGACAACAGTCCCACACAGTCATCTAGAGATATTAGAGGCGACCCACAGAGGCCTATATAAATTTAATCCTAGACATCATGATGAACTGGAATTAGAAATCGGTGACCCTATTTACGTTCAAAAGGAATGTGATGATTTATGGTCTGAAGGTATACAAGGTTTATATATTTTTCGAGATGTTACCTGCGGATTATATTGCTATAATTTGTTCTTAAAAATTTTTTAGGAGTTAATTTGAGAACTGGTCAGCAAGGAATTTTCCCCTCAGCATATGCGGTGGATATGGAATATAATGACTTTGATCCAGCTAATGTCAAGATTAAAAGGGAAAGATATCTTCTCGGGTACGTAAATATTTAGGTACAAGTATCATTTTTATTTCGATAATTATGGCATTTCCAAACTATTACAGTCTTTCAAAAACCGTAATTTTAAAATGTGTATTGCATATGTTAATATAGAACTTAAATTGGTAACCAGGTATATGGGATCAGTAGAAACCTCAGCGCATAAAGGTACAGCGGTTGTTTGTCAAGCGGTGAAGAAAATAGTTGGTGATTACACAGGTGATTTTGAAACTCAGACGTGTATTTTGGAAGTTTCGGACCAAGGCTTACGAATGGTCGACCGTACAAGACCAGATACGGTACGTTACGATATCCTAATAATTTTTATTCCAGAAAAAATATAAGACACCATTGAGAGCACTGTGTGAATTTATTAATCATTGTATAAAAAAAATAATTAATCATTGTATAAAAAAATAATAATGCTTCTTTGAACCGTCAACAGAAAGGAGTGAAGGGACCGTGCCTTGATTACTTCTATTCATTGAAGAACGTTTCATTCTGCGCGTTCCATCCACGTGACCACAGATATCTTGGATTTATTACTAAACATCCAACTTCACAAAGATTTGCATGTCACGTTTTTCGAGGGATGGAATCTACAAGACCCGTAGCTGAATCTGTTGGGTAAGTTATAACTTATAAAATTGTACTTTCAATTAAATAATTCAAGTAAAACTGTATTTTATTTTAATGTGAAAGGGCTGTTTACACGTGTTATATAATAATTAATGAGTGAACTCTAGTGGAAAATCCACACTTCCAACGCATTAAGACATTGCAAAAACCTCTCTTTAATAAATAACTGCACTACTAAGCGTTCATTTGTTACTTCATCAATTACGTTACTTGTCAGTCAATGTAATTGTGTTTTGTTTGTACTCTTCTTAACGATTACTTAATATTAATTGCATGCAATATTTTTGAAATTGTCAAGTGACAAATTGACGGATTTCTTTTGTTTCAGGAGAGCATTCCAGAGATTTTATCAAAAGTTTATAGAAACGGCATACCCCATAGAAGACATTTATATAGAATAAGTAAATTTAAGAACGTATAACGTATAAATTCAGCAATATTACAAGCTTTCACACTTTTGCCGAAGACTAATGTTTACGGACACATTTATATTTTAATAAAGGTGTACATTATTATTAAATGTACAATGATTGCTGGGTATCGATATCACAAAGTTAAAAACCAGTTAGTCAAATATCTGTGAATACGGGGCTTTAAGGACGAATATTAAACCCATTGTCGGTAGCTATGCCTTTTAGGGATATTATAAACGCAATCACATTATTATTAATATTTGTATTAAAAAGTGTACCTAATTGTAATCGATGCCTTGCATTGCGCCTTGCTTGCTAAGGCAATTCTATGAAAAGAAATAAGTTATAAAACGATAAAAAAAAAACAATGAAATTTCGATTACTTACTTGATTTGATTTAATTTGGAATACTGTGAAAAAATTGAATGTTTCTTTCTATAACTGTACCAAGAATTACCTACCTCAAATGATGGGGATGTTAAATGAAATGATAGTTCGTCTAAGAATAACAGTAATGTGGTACAAAATAATGTTTCATTAGAAAATATCAAATGAATGTCTTATACTGTGATATAAATAATTTTGATTTTTGGATTAGATATACTTTTACATGTTTCAAATTATCAATTTAAGGTGAGATTCCACCATGATATAGAAATAGACAGCGTTTTAAATTTAAGTATTGTACCATTGGTAAAGCATATACAAGACAAATATTGTTATGAAGAAAACAAAAGAATCGTACTTATAGTAACAATAATAGTTGTAACAATAATTGTAAAAACGTTTGTCGCTAGATATTCGATGTTATTTTGTATTCATTTAAAGGTTTTGATGTTTGATATCTACACCGATCACTTTAATTACAAATATAAGCAACTTTGCAATAAAATTCATACGAATTTAATGCTTGATATATTTGTATATAGCTGACTAAAGTTCAACGCCCCATTTTTATTGCAAATTAATATGCCTATAAAAGCAATATGTTAAAATTAAATAAAATTCATAGTTGTTACAAAATTAATAACAGTATATTTCTCAATTTAAATCCAGTGCCGATAAATCATCTATTTTGTAAATATATGACAAATTAAAGATCCCCAGGGAAGTTTTGGCGAAGCAGAAGGCGCTGTGACTCACAACAAAGAATGAGAGTAATATTTATTTTTCCAGTACTGTCTACCTATTAAACATAGAATAGTATTAAAGTTATTCTGTATTACATGGGATTTCTATTGTTTTATTTATACCATAACCAACCCAGCAATAAATTTAAAATAATTTCTAAAGAAAAATAAAAGAATAAAACACATAAAAATATACAGATGATTGTGTACCTCTTTCTTTTGGGAAGTCGGTCAAATAAAATTACGCGGATGACGATAAAGATTCTGTCTCTAAAGGTTTTACCAAAACCAGTATTGATTCTTGAAAGCAATTTTAACTAAGTTGTAAAGATTTTTCATAAACAAAAATGATCATTTCGTATTTAGACGTAATTTATTATCCCTGAACCTAAAATTTGCATCAATAAAACTTTCAATAAAGCGGAACTAGATGGCGCTATTATAAATTAGAATTATGTCACCACTAGATGTCGTTACTATGCACACTCAAGGTAAACGAGCACGTGGAGCCTGTCCCTGAAATTGAACTTTGCGCAACTTCACCGCAACAACACAAATATGACAACTTTGACGAAGTACTACCGCATAGTGACGTAGTGAAAACCTAGATATGCGTTTCAGTCACACGCAAACCACTTATTTTATAAGAAAAAAACAATTTTGAATGATGTGGGCACATAGTTTTTATTTATGTAGAAACAATTTAACCGAAATTATTACCATATTATTAAAATTACTTTTTAATCTATGTCTTAACAGCATTCTGGGGATAAATAAAAAATAATTTATTCGTTATTTTTGGATAATACTAAAGTTGTTTTAAATTACTTGAGCGTTATAATTGGCAATTATTTTCATCCAGTTATCAACAAGTAAACTAGCTTATTAGCCAAGTTATACAAAAGAACTTACTGTGTTTACGTTGACTGTAAAAAATAATTAGGAAACCAATATAAAAGATAGTATAAAATGGATAATGTTTTGAACACGTTCCAAATTTTACATTTTCGAACAAAATAATCGCTAACCGTTTCGGTTAAATTATTTATATCTAATTTTTCACCAAATTTTTGGTCGTCTGCCTTTTTCATAATGTCCTATTATTATAACTTAGAGCTTATGTATGTTGGTACTAAGTTACAAACTTTAAGTAAATTGACTCTCGTTAGTAATTGATACTATTGTTGCTGCATTAATTAATGTAAGTACTCGTTTGTAATCACTGTTTCAGAATTATGAATATTTAGGCTATGCGCTATAGTTGTTAACATTATTGGATCTCAAGAAATATTTTCTAAATAAATCTGGTTTTTCCAGTACTATCGTAGTTATTTAAGATTTAGGTTCTATCGTAATTTTATGAATGATATATAGATTTCAAATTTAAGTAAAAAAATAACTAAATTTTACGATAAAATAGATAATTCTATAACTTAAAATCCAGGCTTATACGTTATCCCAACCTTTATGAATTCTTAATAAAGAAATGTGTTCACATGTTGTTTTACTTTACTTTCTTCCGGATTTGTTGCTTAAAACTTTAACAAAACAAATAACACTTAGAAAGTTGTTTATTATTAAAAGAGCTAAAGCAACAATGTTTGATTTTATATTTTATTGGAATAGACGATACACAATAGGTATTACTAAGGAAATAGGGACTTTTTATCACAAAAACAAAAGTAGCACCTACTCCACCAACCTTAAAACTGTCTGTGGTCTTTCTAATCGATATTTCTACAAACTTTTCCTATAACATTGTAAGTTAATGTACGCGCAATACAGTTACAAAAACTTCTACTGAGTACAATACGTAGCGTAAAGGTTATCACTCAACTACCAATTGGCATCCACGAGTAGGCAAAGCGTGGTTAGCTCATCGTCACTGGCTGGGAAATCTAGGTATGTAATTACGCAACAAAAACAATAAGTTTATTTCGCTTAATCTATATCTACACTAATGTAATAAAGCGTAAACACACTACCTCGTGGCTTAGGACGTCAGCAATCACAGCATATTTTTGAAAAATTCACTCCTCAATAAAAAGCCTAACACTTACGACACGCTTTAGTCTATATTATTTCACGCTATAAAACTTAGGGAACTTAACGCAATTGGAAAAACCACGTGGAGAAGGGACCATAAACTACAAGCTGCCAACATCGTAGAAGCAAGATTGCCATGGTACGGTACTTGTTATCCACTGTCAATATTCTTCGGATTTGTGCATTTGCAGTTTGATATTTGCCATTGAGAATTTCCAAATGTAAACAAAAAAATAAAGTTTTTATAATTCAATACGGATGAAGCCGCACAGGAACAGCTAGTAAGCGTTAAAGTCGAAGTCGACACATTTGTTAAAGCGACCGCGAGTGGTATTGGACGCGAGGTTATATGAGTGATAACCTTTATGCATACGAAGCCGCGAGCAACAACCAACTATTATTATAAAGCAGAAAGTTTTGTACCTAATGGGTAAACTCTGGAAGTAGTGAAGCGAGTTTATAATTAATTCACCATTAAAAAGCGACTGCGTCGTTTATCCAGAAATAACAAGGCTATCTTTTTATTACTGAAATTTTAGTTTTACTTTATAAAAATTACATAGTCAATTTAAATTATTTTTTCTAAATAATTTCATGTTGCTTTAGAGAGCTGTAAAGTGAATTCTCTGATATCTTTGCACATTGACACATCGAAGTTAAAAGCTTTGAATTCTGAATAAAACAAACAAGTAGAAAACCACATAATCACACAGAATACTAAATAGGTCTACGTTATTTTTAGATATTGAGAAACTTAACAAAATATCTTGTCTACATACTATAGTTTAAATAGACCAAGTTATTTGCTAGTGCTTGATTGTAAATGGGTCCTAAAATTAGAAAATACAATAAGTATTGCTACACGACGCTTTAAGCAGTCGACGTGCTGTTAGTAGCTGCAGTCGTTTGCTTGAATTTGACCGTGTACAGCAGAATGTACGTACAAATACATTTAGTATTAAAATGAAACATTTTTATTGATCATATAATTTATTGGATCACAGAACTAAATTTCGTACAATGTTTCTACATGTTTTAAAGTTATACAGTTTGAGCAACATTTTAATCACACCAATACCACAAAATTTTGATTCAAGGAAGTATGAATTTCTACAGACAGTTATATTACACATAGCTTTTAACGTACTAGTAAAATTTCATTTAAAACCAGGTACACACACAACTTGACGATGGTAAAGAAAAAACGCTCATAAAGGTACATACGTAAATTCAATAACAAAAATATTTTTTTTTCTTCTATATATTTTGCACTCTTAATTACAATTTCTATTGGATAAATACGCACATTATTGATATTTCTTTTTATGAAAAATTATACCATTAGATTGCATGACATTGCACCAGATGTAACCCAGAGCACATATTTAAAAACATTCATAAAACACTGAAAGCAATTCTGCTACAATTACTGGATGAAAAATTTGAATAGATAAATATAAATTTATATTATTACGTGTTGTATCAAAATGTTTTGAACTGAGTTTGTACTTCAAATTAATTGTAAATACGTGTGTATTTATGTACCTAGTTAAAGCTACACGGTGAGTGACGCATTACAATAGGTCAGTAGATTACTGCACGCATGGCGTTAATGTTTACAATTTTCGAATTCAGGCTTTGCGGAAGAGCCATATTTAACAAGGTTATTCTTTAAATACGTCAGATGCGTCTCAAATTTAACTTTTATTCTGTCACAAAATTTTCTATATCAAACTACTTTTAGTAGCTTATGTTAGTTTTTGGATTTTATTTGGATAAAGATGTGCAATCAATTATATTCCTTCAAAAAAATTATCGTCAAATCTAATGCTATTATTTTTCTACGAATAAAAGCGACTTTTAAGTGGTAAGTATCGTCAAACAGTTTCTCATAATAACATTTTGATATATCAATATTCGAAAGAAATTAAAACGACTCCAATAAACAACTTCTGCAATTCCGTTGCTAAGTTTACGTATGTATTTCCGTCTCGCTCGCACAGGTCAATAAGATGCTGAAAGCGGCGTACTTCGACCCAGATTTCAAGCTGGAATTTACTTTTACTTTCGCCGACAAACATCGACCAACAAATCGCTCGATATGTTGCGCGACTCGCCGTATCAGTGCCACGTGACGGGAAATAGGGCAACGTACATTTCAGAATCGTCTCTCACTAGAATTATAAATATTTAATTCAATGAATTAGTATTGAAATAGGTTCTATGACACAATAAACTATTCCTTTACGTAAGATATTTTATGCGAGCGTACTTTTTAAAAAATAATTTAAAACGATTAAATTTATTTCAAATAACATTACATACACAATCAGAATATGCTTATAATATATTTATTTAATTAACAAACACACAAATGTATAACTGTTATAGATATCAGAATCTTTTACATGGACGACAACAATAAATTTTTGAATAACATTATAACACTAAACATACTAAAACTGGAAGAAAACAATTCCTTAAAACATTGAAGTTTAAGAATAACAACAATCAACTTTAAATACAAAAACGTAAAGCCCAAAATTTGGCACCTTATAGGTTAAAGAATATTTTACATTTTAAACATACAGATAAAAGACAATATAATATAATATATTCAATCTCACAGTTCACTAATATAACGTTTAAATGCTCGATATATATTATACGTAAAGTAATTATGATTGAATATTATATCTTAGTCTTTACTTAGCATGACAGTGTTACAGGCGTGATTCTAGAAAAGGAATGATTGTTATCTCTTCAAAGACATTTAAAAAATATATAGACGAGACATAGTAAATAATTTTTTTTTCACCGGTACCTTTGTCTGAAAGGTATTATATCAGTTGTCATATTTCAACATTTGGTTGACACATTTCATAAAATTATAAGCTTTTGTAAGCAAACAAACTAAACAGCATTAAAAAATACCTTTAAATATTATTTAATGACACGTATTGGAGATTAATTTAAATAATAATTAATTATATTGATATATGGTTTTTAATGGATAGCGTTAGGGAATATGTGATTTTTTTAAGTGATGTGCAGACTGTGCCTCCTCTATATATTCATTGAATCTCTTTGGTTCTGTTGCATGGAATACGCTAAGTGAGATCAATAACGAATAAGTACAATGCTATCGAAAATGTGCAGCTGTAATTCGATGTATCTTTAGATGTACAATTTCATTCGTTAATATGAAACTTAAGAAAGATGTTTCAATCTACCTTTTCGAGTTTTAATATATGAATTGTCGAAAATATGATTATTAATTTCAGTTATTTAGATACCTATTTTAATTAATTATTTTAGTTTTTCTATTTTTCATTTACTTCACAATATTATTTGTTTAAATTTTACTATATTTTATTTAAATGTGATTTAGAATTTGGTTTCGCCGGCGAGGTTTACGGACGGTAAGCGTTTGTGATACGAGAGTTTTCATTCAATTTGTATCCCGCATTGTAACTTGCGACGCTTCCCGTCCGCTCCCACGAGGGCTTCACTACACTACTACTTACTATCTAGGTGCGTTATATTAATGTCTTACTTCACTCTTTACATTTATTCTTGAATAGTTTACATGATTTCAACAATAATAACCCAAAAATAAAATCCTTTCAGGGCCTTGCTCTGGATAACAATATTTAAATATTTTCTTCTCAAAACACAAACTTAACATGGTGATAACAATTGGTTACGATTACGATATTATTTCTGGCTTTCGACAATTTGTGGTTTAATTCATCCAGACTTTTGAATCTCTGCGACAATATTGAATGTTACATAAACCATTTTTTGTATATTTTAACAATAGGCATATCATGTTTGTCCAACTTTTGTGCGGTTCACAACATGCGGCTATCCTGTCTATCAGATTTAATCTGTGCATAAATGTGCCTCAAGTTTCACTCGAATATTGTCTGTAATGTTTACTGTAATATTGCACTCATTGAGATATTTAATTTATAATATTCTTAAGATCAAATATATTTGAGAGCAAAAAAACAGGGACGATTTTTATTGAATTGTTATTACTGTTAATGGAAAAATACAAATGCCTAACATGTTAACAAACACATAAATTCGAAATCACAAAAATCTGCATTTTTATTGTTAGTCGTTTACGCTGAAAAGAGTAGATGGTACTGACGTTTTTCAGTTGTTTGTATCAAGCTTGGGATTTTAATAAATAACCGTGAGTTTTCACTGCTGAAATGTTTGCACAAAATTTACTGTCATCTCGATCTTTTTCAAAGAGAAAAAGAAGGACAATATAATTAACAAGTGGAAACTCACGATAACAAATTCAAAATTAACATTACGTAATCGGAAAAATTAAAAACATTTTTAAAAAAGAATAACTTCGCTATAAATATTTATTTTAAAAGGACATATGAACTGAAGAATATTTACCTCTTTCAACAATCTATTTATTATCTCATTTAAGAGACAATCAATATTATTAGAAAAATAATTCGCAGGTAAATACTTCGTTTCTATATAGTTTATCCTTTGAAGGTATTGAAATAAATATATGTATTTACCTACTCTACCTTTTACAAATACTAAACAGTTTTTATGCATATTTTATTAAACCTTCTACTAATCCTTTAAATATATTGAGCAAAATCTGAAAAAGAAGCGCCTTTTCTAATACGATTTGTAATTTATATGTTTATTAAATGGTTACTAATAACACTATTTAAAAATAAATACGATTGTTTTCATTTGCAAGTCAATTTTAAAATGTGTGTCTATTTTGCACAAATATATCGTAAGAGGTTGTTTTTTTACTCCAATAGATATTAGATACGCTCTTAACTGTCAGAGATCCTAAAAAGTCACAGAACTATTAGTAATTTTTACTTGATTTTCATTTAATTAAAGGGATTTATTCTTTTTATTTTCGTTCCATTAAAATAAGGTTTAATATGTTAAGACAACGCACACAAACATACTTTTCTAACTCCATAATATATGATTCTATTAAATTTTATTAAATGTCTTTTTCGTAACAGTACAGAATATGTAAATATAAATTATTATGAAATTATCTTCAAGACAGTGAACATCAAGTTGATAATTATGTTTGTTTATGTTCTAATAAATATATAAACGTTTTATCTATCGATACATAGGTAGAAAAAGTGTTAAGTGCATAAATTTTATATTGAATCGTGATAGGTATCCGTGTATATATGTCAAATTGAACATAATTCATAGAACTAGGGTAATTTTAGTATACACTAAATTTGCTATATAAATATGTATTTACAGTATAGCCTTATTTATGTACCCATGGTCGTCAATCATCTACAAAGTTTCACTCAAACATTTTGTCAGAGTTTAATAATGGATGCAAATAAACATTTCGAAAGACATTAAAGTAATTTAAGGAAAATGTTTGAATCATTTCTAACATATTAGTCCTAAATATGCCGACGGCGAGTCGTCGAAAAACACCGACAATTTAGGTGAGAAAGATCCAAAAGGATCTAAAAGCAATAGACCTTACGAACAAGATTCCAATCCCGCTATATGACCAATTAGTACGAGGAACACCGACTCCAAATAATTAGTAAAAAGCATATAAAGAAGAGAAATTTACAACATTCAATATTTCCAAATTGTCTCTAATTAGGAATATATATCTTGATAATATACATAATTGTTTAGTCCATAAATTATACTGATAGATACAAGCACTATTTTATTTTGCGTACAAAATAGATATCATATTTGAAAATCATTATGATTCAACCACGCTACAGATCTTAAGTATCTAATTAGTAGGTTCATTAAAGTAGATGACAACGATATACGATAGACTTAATTCTTTCTATTTTTCTTAATAACATTAGAGGAATAATATTGACTAGATATCTAAATACATTAACATGTAAACTACAGTATAGACGTATTTTCAATATAGAAATTACAGTTATTAAGTCTTTGTTTTAATAAAAAAAAAATTATAGATAAAAAAATTTTTGCTAAAAATTTTATTCTGTCAACGAAATAGCAGTTTAAAGTGCTTAACAATCTTCAATATAAATAAACATTATTCAATAAAACATAGTTATAATAAACGTATTTTAAAATTGTAGAATAGAACACATCATTTTATATTTTTTGTTTTTTTAATTACCTTTTATTTTAGAAAAAGGATTAATAATATAAATTCACTCTACGTGAAAAGAAAACATTGCGTTACTACTATTTATCAATAAAAAGCAGTTTCTTCTAATACAAGATATAGATTGATCTAAAATCCTAAAATCGTAACATGCCATTATCGCTGGATCGATCGCCGATTGTTTTTAGTTTTCTTCGCCGAGTAATACCAAGTCGTCAGCCACTACATCGGAAACGTGCAGGTAAATTATCCAGTACATGAGATTAAAGCATACGAAGCAAACGGGGAACACGATGCGAGAGTACTTGTCGATATCCGATGGCGTGGTGCCCAGTAGTTTGTTGATACCCTGGAAAATGTGTTTACCTTGACTTCTGTAATTAATGCTACATTTCAACACGTCAAACTATTTACCGCAAAATTCGCTATAGGCAGTTAATTAAACCATCGCATTGCGGTTATTGTATACAAGCTCGCACCGCAACATGTACGATGTAATTTAACCCTCGCTTAATGTATATGTATATTGTAAAATAGATATACAAACCTTTGAAGCGTGCACCAGATGCGGAGGTGGAACAGGTTCTTCTTCAGGTTGCGGTGGTGGTGGAATCGGAGCGGGGCCGCGAGCGCCGTTGATGGTGCTTTCCAGAGTACCTCCTTTAGAATACGCCTTGGGGTCGTGCACCTTGAACCGGACTTCCTGCGTATGAGGGTTATAAGACTACAATTTAGGTAGATATACGCTCTTTGATATAGACAAAGTGATGGACTGTTAGAAACTGGTTCTCACCGAAGAGCGACTTGGGGGCAGCGGGCGGTTTAGAGTGCTCGTCCTCGGCGGTGGTAGGGGCTCAGGTGGTGCAGGGGGACCGTCTACTCCAATCTTCTTTTCGGATGCTATCTTCTGAACAGCAGTAAATCGTTGCTTCCTCATCTGTATCCTCTTAGCCATGTAGCCGACAGTGGCGTACTCTGTAACGAAAACATTTTTTTAACATTTGACCTCATATACACGAGCGCAAAGCATTATGTATATTATTGTAAAAAGTAACGCTCCAATAATTTTAAATACGTGGAAGTTACATTGCATTTCAAATAAGACATAAAATGCGTTTAAGATAATAACGTACGTCTCGCAATGTAAAAATATTTTCCATCGCAATTCACTAACAGTTAAAAAATTAAACATCGAATAAATAACATTAGTAATATACAACTAAACCATTATTCCTTTGTTACCTAGAAGACTGGCGAAGACCATGACGAAACAGGTTCCAAGGTATACGTCAATAGATTTGACGTACGAGATCTTAGGTAGAGCAGCGTTCGTAGAAGACATCAGCGTAGTCATAGTCAAGACGGTGGTAACACCGAGAGAAACACGAGCCGGAGTAGCATTCCGGTTCAGCCAGAACGACACCCAGGATATAATGACGATAAGGCCAGACGGAATGTAAATTTGAATCAAATAGTATCCCATGGAACGAACAAATTGAATCTCGCAAGCCAAACGCGAATAGTTTCCTGCAAGAAAAACATTAAAGATAAAAAAGCTACTCTAACGAGTTGATTAACGAAAGAACCAAAAAATTAACGAACTTGTAGTTAATTTATAAATTGACTTGCCGATAAGCTTGTGAGTGGCATGCAAGTTAAAACACGCGAACACACGTACCCATGACGTTAGCTGAGTTATTTATAGGCTTTGATATTTGCATCGATGCTTGATACCTGTGGTAAGGGAGATTTCCATTGCTCGCTGCCGATGACCGAGCACCTTGAACTGCGGTAGTGACACTTCGCTCGACACACCCACTGAGTTGGGCCCCTCGTTCCACTTATATCGGATGTCCCGCATGGTGTAGCCGACTGTACCATGCAGAGATATGGAACGATAAAATAAGCACCCATCGCACTGGGTTTTTAAAAATATCCGTAACAGTAAAATACTCGTTTAACTACCAAATGTGAAGTGTAAAATGATAGCATCGCGTTGGATATTTAAAAACAACAAGCATTTAAATTTGCTTTGAAATTGGTCTACATAAAACAAAAGCATATTGGGTCTGTACACCAAATCTGATATCGTATGGCAATAACTCATGGTGTAAAACAATTTTAATATTGTTTTATCAAGCCATATCTAAAGTAAAAATTTAAATATTTAAAAAACTAAATTAAGCCAACTTATGTTGAATATTTTTGTCGCTTGTTTTCACTAATTACTTACAACTTTCAATCTCAATGTTGCATAACTGGCGATCCATAGGGAAATATTGCAAATCCATGGGGCATGAAGCGGTGATAGTCAGTCTGAAAATAACAGAAACCATAATGCTGAAGTAACTAAAATATAAATTGTATTTAGACAACTATCCAAGAAATGTACTACCTAAATCTAGTAGTCTTATTTTTTGTGATAGTAGTTTCTTATTATAATCCTACCTTATACTTCGCGTGATAGATCCAGAATGGTGAATGCGAATGAATTCGTTGCTAGTAGTTGCAATATGGAAGTAAGATTGTTTCTCGTTCACGAAGAAAGTATCCGGAACCCAAATGTTTCGTATAAACTCCGATCCAACGGAAAGCGTCTCAACTCCGGGTCTCTTCTTATAAGCCAGCCTCGGGTCGGTCCAAAATTGACGGAAATAGAAGTCCAAGGTGAAATCCTAAAAAAGTATAGATTATGAAATAAAATAAAATGTATTTAAAACGTATTACAATAATAATTAAGCAGGAACATTATTATTTTAATTTCAACAAGATTTAAGTACGTAGACGAGCCCAATTCTCCTTTGAAATAAATAATTGTAAATTTAAAACACAAAATCTGATGTCTTACAATTAAAATAAGAAAGTATTATTTTTTAGATATCATAACAATTAAATTATTTTCATTCGTGACGTCAGAAATGATTGCCGTCCAACGATCTAACGAATCAAGTTCCTATTGACCTAGGCCAATCAAACAATGAGAACAAAAATACTTCAAAATGAATATGAATTCAGTATTAAAATATTGTATTTGTAAAGTTATTCAGAGCTATCTAGATGCTTAAATCTTTCATTTGTACATATAAATACATAACTATAATATAAGTATGCTAAACCCAACTATCATATGGCTCAGTAGCAACAAGTATCATATGAGTATTGGTGTTTCAGTATGTAATTATTCTAACAACATTTTATTTACTATATTATCTATCTTTTCCTATTGTCCGGTCACGTCTTAAAGTGACTTTAAAAGTCCCCTTGATTTGGTTTCCACTGAGGGGTCATACACCCTGGTCGTAAAAATAATGCTTTGGAACCGGTATCAAGGGTATCTCCGCGTCAGCTGATTTTAACACATCATAGTCCATTTTACCCATAATTTATTTCTTACGCGACGGTATAAATTTTGATGTTAACTCTTTGAAATTCACGACACTTCCATAAACTATCCAAGTAAATTTTAAAATAAACAAATTATAAATTAAAAAAAAACATTGAAGTTTCCTTGTCGAAACGGAACTCTCGTGACAACGATACAAAACATTTAAAACATTCATAGCAAGACTACTAACAAAAAAAAAGAAACAGTAAGGCGAAAGGCGATGTTTGAGTGTTATACGCCAATTTGAGAGACAATAGTAAGATCCACAGTTACAACAAATACCTACTCAAAAACATAAAAAGCTTAAAACAAAATAACAACAATGGAGCAAATTTACGACAGTGTCTTGCTTGGAGATATGATTTTTAGCAAGGTATACATTTTAGTATGTAGTTTTATTTTTAGACACACCCGGAGTAGTGCACCACAGCGGCCAATTAAACTTTGATACGCATATGTTCCCAATTTGAAATTTGAGTAGAGACAATGAAAGCTAGTGGTGCGCCACCCGGGCTGTCTGCTCCATAACGCCGGCATGCTCGCAGCCTCGTGTCTGGGGCTGCTCGGTCGCGGCGGCGCCGGCTGCGGCAGCGCGCGGCGGACACCGCAGCGACCGAGACAAGCGTGAGCTGACAGTGGCGAGTACCATGAGCACTTCGGAGACGGAGCTGATAGAGAGCACATACATGGTGACGCCCACCTCCACTGGGGGACCTGCAATCAAGCCCAATTGTGAGTCGCGCTCTTTCCTTGCGCCGTGAAAACCAAACCAGAGGACGATGACGTGTGCGCCGGTGCTCCCTCGATCGAACGAGGACTAAGCCACGTTATATCTATATCACTAAGATCCGTCGATCGACCGAGGGCAGCTATCCTAAATTCTTCGCTTCTTGCACTAACCGACCATCTACTTAAAAGTGTTCACTTAAATACCATTTTAACTTCAGACAAGGAGCTGATGGAAAGCACGTACATGGTGACTCCCACATCCACTGGCGGTCCTGAAACGTTACATCGGTTACATAATATGTAAATAATTGTACGTTTGGCCGCAGTATTAGCAATTGCTCATTTCTAATCTTCAGTTTTTTTTTTCAGAAACGTCAAGGAGTATTTTATCTATTTCAACGCTTTTAATGAACTCGATTTATTTCTGGTTTCGATGCTCGCATAAAGACGTATCGTAGAAGTCCAAATATAGCTACTCGTATAAAATAAGACTGTATATTTTAACTCTCAATAACAGGAAAGAACGCCAAATTATTTAATTGTTGTGTTCGTTTAATGGTTATTTTCTAACTCACCGTCTTCTGGTCGTTGACCTTCTTCTCGTGCCCAAGTTAATCAAGACGACGTGCCTCAAGTATCGCAAATTACCAACACTTGGTAGCTATTTAAATTTTATACTTTCTTAAATATTATTGGTGATACAACATTAGTTGCGATGCCATAGTTATTTTAGCCTACACGGTTTTTCTGTACCAGTTATAAAATAAAATGACAATATTATACAGCAGTTATTATTTTCTTTAATAAGTTAATAATAAAATAAATTAATGATGAAAAAGTAACTTCAATCGAACGATACTAGTCTACTAAATTAGTTGCAGCAAAATATGCAAACAGTTTGCCGTTAAGATCTTTCCACTTGAGTTTCTATTGTAATTCAGATGCACGGATCCATCCAATTTATAGTCTCAGCAGCGCAGTTAATTTATGCATTAAATTTAAATACAACATTTCACTTCAGTCGAAATATCGATAATACTGTATGTATATTTAAAATCTAAAGTAATGAGTTTTACTGCACAAAGATTATTTAATATTCTTTCATACATTAGAAATGTAACATCTGACCTTTGCCCAAAGCAATTTAATAGAATAGGTTATGACATCGTGCTTTTGACATTGTAATTAAAATTACGTTATGAGAACACCGAGTTTTTTTAGACATTTCAATCCATGTTAACTCTTCCTGTGATCAGATGGTCATTTAATTTTCTTTAATGCGGACAATTACATGGCCTTTTAAAGTTCAGATTGTTAAAGAAACATTCAACAGGGCAGGGAGATGTTTTTAAAAAAAATCCTCTATAATTAATACGTCGCACTGGTTACATTTACTTTAATATTATTCATATAATATAATATAATATAATATAATATAATATAATATAATATAATATAATATAATATAATATAATATAATATAATATAATATAATATAACATAATATAATATAATATAATAAGTATATATGCGAAAGTTACGCTGAATGGATGGATGTTTGTTAGCGTTTGTAGCCTAAACGGATGAACGGATCTCCATAAAATTTAGCACAGGTTTAGAGCATAGTCTGGAAGAACACATAGGCTATTTTTTATACCGGGAATAGTTACAGTTCCCGTGGGATTCGTTAATTTAGTTTTTTAATGTTTACTCGGACATTCTGTAACGGTGCAACATATCTTATTGAAATTTGGCACGGATGAAAAACAAAGTCTGGAGTACACATGGGATAAGTTTCATCCCCGAGAAATGTCCAGTTCCCGAAGAATACGAAGCTTTTTGTTATTTATATAGTTCGTTTGTTTTCTAATACCAAGAGCACGAAGTCGCTGGCAACAGCTAGTATGGAATAAATTGATCTCGATCGTCTTATAATTTACATTAGATCGGATCAATAGCAATTCAATTTTCACCTAGCCCATTAACTTGCCGGCGTCTCTGCTTCCGTCCAATTATGACGGGGATTCAAGCGTAGAATAAATAGGTTGATGATGAACTAGTTCGTCCTATTTTTCAGCTATAACATTGTCATTTTATATCAGGTTGAAATGTATTTAATTACCATATTTTTTATTTGCACACACCATATTTGATCTAAAAGACAGATAAACCAATGAAAGAATATTTGAATACTCTTTTTTTTAATTATATTTGTTCTATCAAAACAAACAAGGGCATACCATGAGGTCATGGTAGCGTGTCAGAGATATGTCTAGTATTTTTATTATTATACCAAGCATGTACATAGCTATTCACTGTTTATTTCGAAAAAATAATAAGTAAAGTAATTTAATGGCTCCAATTTTTTATTTTTAATAAACAGTAGCTGGACATAGAACCTGAAAATCGACTGCAACTCGAACAATTAACTACTGGATATCTTACAAAAACATTTAAAGCTTTAATTTTAATTATTACTTACCCCGTTTACAATAATTGAGTAAATTGATTGTTAATCATTTGTTACCATTACAAATTTCTTAAAGTACATGAGTTATATTTTCAAATATATTTTAAATGTTGGCTACATTTAATATTAACTTATAACTTTTACCAATTAATATTTCGTGAAATTTTAGTAGAAATAGAGATTTTAATTAACAAGAAATTCGCGCAATCAATTACACTAAAATGATCAACACGGGCGAAGGATTATCTAGATCTTTTGATATAACGGATAATGAAGGTGTTGGAGGAAAATTTAAGAAATGAAACAGTAAAGAGACGGATTAAATATCGCTCCGAGGTAGGCGCTTACCCAGAACTGTGTTTACTTCGAAATAATTGGCAATTAGTGGTGATTATCCAAATGAAAAATGTACATTTACATTTTAGCTTATTTATTTTGATAGATAATTAGAAAAATAAATTTTAAATTCATATTTTGTAATGGTTACCATAGAAGTGGTTACGTTTGTGGATTACCTTGGTGGTCGTGAGTTCGAATCTAGTTTGAATGTTCTTAAAGTTAAATCATAATCGAAGATCGCGCTTTTTTGGAATGGTTACAAGAAATATTAGTAAGTCAAAGTTTATTAAAAGAAATCAGTGTAACTCACCTCCATAATTGGGTCTCACTCTCTTGTCATAGCTGACACTGAGAGAATCTAGAATCGCTGATATATTGACATCTCCAAACATTCCCCCTCCGCCAGCTCCCCTGTAACAAAACAGTATTATTAATAACCAACACTTAAAAGTTCTGTTTTTATTGTAACTAATTGTATTTTTGGTTACAAGTGTACGCGCGACGATACGACCACCACGATTACTATTTTAATTCTATCTAAATGTAAGTAAATGTAAAAATGTTAACTCTTATGTGGTAGGTATATCTGGCTTTAAATTTTATAGACATTAATGACATATAAAAGAGTAGTTATGTTGTGTATTATTTGTTAGTAGAATAATTTGTCTTCCACAAGAACGCGAGCACACCTTGGACTAAATAATCGCACAACTGTTTAGTCGCGCTTTGATTTCTATAAGCTTATTGAGCGCACACTACTCGATTTTTAATTGTGCAACTAAACAGTTGAAAATTCACGAAACAATAGACACTCGCACAAACGTTATGCGATTGTTTATTCAAAGGTGTGCGTCCACTCTAATTATTTATTTGATTTTAAAATCTGATATAAACGTAATCTAAAAATGTTCAACTATTTTTTTCAATAGAATGAATAAAACCGATCTCTATCAATAAAAATCTGCTAATCCAGCGTGAAAATAAAAACACAATAGAACTTAATTGTTATTTAATCCATTCATTCAATAGCTTCTGTTTTTATATGTACACTAATATTATAAAGAGGAAAGTATTTTGTATTTGTATTTCTGTATGTATTGAAATAACTCAAAAACTTCTGAGCCGATTTTAAAAATTCTTTCACTGTTAGAAAGGTAATCTATCTGTGAGTAACATATGCTACATTTATTAGTTTCACGCGGGAGAAGTCGCGACCAACACTTAGATGTTTTATATAAGGGTATACAAAATCCTGGTACACTTATATTTAAAAACATCTAAATAAATAGGTTACTGTGAATAAGTCGTATGCGAAATCTACAATACTTTAAGCGGTGACCATGCAGTAATATGAATTATAGTAAAATATCATTTTTCCAAGGAATAATCTAAAACATTTTTGCGAAATCCTCACCAAGATTAATGCATTGAAAATGCAAATTCATGCAACGTGAAAACTATTTTACCATCAACGTTCGAGCCACTTTACGTTGAATGAAGTGAAGTGAAAACAGCCAACGTTCAGTACGCCCGATCCAGAGGTAAAAACCGCTTAAAACGAGGCAACTTGCGCCTTGTAAAGTTACGAGCAGTGAACTGGCATAAAATACTTCCGCACTATTAAGCTTGTCAAGCTTTATATTGACCAATTTAGGTCAAATGTATCCCTTTAAGTGACTACGATACTAGATAGCCGCTTAGCATATTTACATATCTTACTAATATTGTAAATGCGAAAGTTTAGATGGATGGATGGATGTTTGTTAGCGTTTGTAGCCTGAACGGCTGAACGGATCTCCATGAAATTTGACACAGGTTTTGAGCATAGTCTGGAAGAACACATAGGCTACTTTTTATCCCGGGAATAGTTACGGTTGCCGTGGGATTCATTAATTTAGTTTTTAATGTTTACTCGATCATTCTGCAACGGTTCAACATATCTTATTGAAATTTGGCACAGATATAAAACAAAGTCTGGAGTACACATAGGATAAGCTTCATCTCCGAGAAATGTCCGGTTCCCGAGGGATAGTTCGTATGTTTTCTAATACCACGCGGACGAAGTCGCGGGCAACAGCTCGTATTTTAATATTAATCTAATCACTATTGCGCTGCGGTTAATCACTAAAGCCAAGTCTAACAATACCTACTTTTACTACATTTCAGCATGTTAATATTTAGAAAAGACAAAGTGTGTCTTTTCAAAATGTCAATCGAAGCGTATTTTAATTAAATTAGAATATATCTACTGTTTTTTTGTAGAAAAATATCTTTCTTATTTTCCCGTATGAAAATTACTCTTCACATTTATTAAGTTAAATGAACGATTATCAATAACGCTTAGGGTGAGTTGCACCATATCGCCGGTTACCGTTAAAGTTAAAATTATTTGTAATTGTAATATTTGGAATAACCTTAAAATTTACTAAGGGTGAGTTACATTAACTAACTATAAACCTTAACCAGCACATTCCCGATGGTTACGTATATGGATGTTCATGATATTCGCTACACCAGTTTTGCGCTGGTCAAAATGACGTCATATTTGACACTAATCATAACCGCCCGATTTTGGGCGGTTATAGTTAGCGTTACGGTTAGTGTCAGTTCGGTAGTGTCAACTGTCACAAGCTCTTATCTTCAAAAGTACAAATAATGGAAAAAGTAATGGAAAAAGAAAATCTCTACTATTATCCTATACGTAATTCAGAAGAATAAAGTCTTGCGTGCTCGGAAATAATGGATTTCCAAGATGGAACTCGAAATTTGGCCAAACATTCAGTTTGGACAAATTTCGAGTGTCTAAGGCCATAGCAACAGCGCTTGTCCCTTTCTCTTATTAAAAAAAATGTCCTCCATAAAAGGACAATTTACAATATGCATTGAGAGGACAATTTATAATATGGAAAATAAATAAGATGCATTTATATTTCTATAATTTTATTGCTTCATTTTTGCTACATATTTGAGTAGTAAAGTAAATACAGTTTCAACAATGGCCCAAACTAGTTTATTTTCACAAGAGTTTGCCATTTTCTCCATCTCCGTGGGCAAAAAGTTTATGTCACTATAAAATACCATGCGTATGATACATAAATATATACGGCGAAACATGAATTTCCAAACATTTTAATTTACGTAAATGTCATTCTTGACACCAACTTGTCACTTTAGTGACATTCAGGTTTAAATGTTTCCATTGTAAAAACGAAAAACACATAAAACCTCTGTGAGAATATGTTTTTGCACTTGTAACCCTATTATAACTTTTACGATAACCGGTGATTTGATGCAACTCACCCTTAATCACGTAAAATTATTTTACACCGGAACAAATTAGAGTATTACTGGCTATTAATTTAATTGGTATATGTGCGCGAAACGATTTAATTAACTGAAGACCAGAATTCGCAGTGTTGAATTTTAATTGAGATAAATACGAACAACGGTTAAAACATTTGTATGTTTCCTCTGATATCGCATTGAGATGTCATTCCGTAATCAAAATAAACATTGTTGAAAATAATAGTAATGTAATGTAATAATTTGATTCATAAGCTAATAAAAGCTTTAACTGTGATGGAAATTAATTCGATTATGGATTTATTAAAGTTGGATTGCATTTATAAAAGAGGATCGAATAAAATTATGCCATGGAAACTTGAAACGAGATAAAGAAACAAGATATTTTCGCCGCTAACTGCCACATGTTTACACTTACGGGAAACACTCCCTCGAACTCCGGCTCATGAATTCTTGGAATTGATAATATCAGAAGGCTCAGTAAAACCCTATTGTAAAATATTTGCTAATTAAGCGGTATTCCTGTTATTCTAGTAGATTTTTTTTTTCAAATAATCAATCAATTTTCTTGGTATGACAACGAATAACAAATCATTTTAAGAACAGCTATTATACACATCAATTTTTTTTATTTTATAAACATTTCTCAAGGTTTTATTTAGTTTTCTTAACATTTTATCTATCATAAATTGAATGCCATTTACTACAAATATATCGTCAAGATGTTATTGGAACATTTGAAGATTTTATTGAAAATGTTGCTGATATTTTCTGAAAACATGAAAAAGGCTGTCGTTTACGAGACAGCTCTGATGTCGGTGTACAAGCTTTATTTAGTTCCGCACATGCCACGATTTCCTTTTAACGATAGTAACAGGCGATGCCACCGAACATACTAACCTACATTTTACTGAATTTACACTCACTCGGCCAGTCCGGAAAACTAGAGACATATCATTTTACCCACTGCAATTTTCTCGTATTTTTTGTGTCAGCTTTTAGACATTTTACACAATAACAGTATTTGTTTACTCGCATCGACGTTAAAGTTTTCCTATTTTTTCTTTGAATTTAATATAATAAGTTTACAGACAGTCGTGAGGTCAAATGATTAAAATTTGTTGCCTCTGTCTAATTTATCTGATAAAATAACGTAACTTTTTCTCTTAAAGATTTGTCTCAATATAAATCTTACTAATACTAATATTATAAATGTGACAGTTTAGATGTATGGATGGATGTTTGTTAGAGTTTGTAGCCTAAACGGCTGAAAAATTGCTGGATACATAGTGACAAAGGAAACATTATTGAAAAATTATCTCTTCAATTAGACACGACTTAAGATGGCAAAGGATTGTGACGTAACTACGCAAACCAATTAATTTTTTAAATCTATTAGTCGAGAAAATCCGCCTTACTTTATAAATTAAGCCGTTTAAGAAAAAGTTAAGACAATTTAATTTTGCAACCATTATTCCATTTTTTAAAGACAAGTTAGAACAATTATGATCTGTCAGAAGTTAAAAGATCTCGTCGCTCCCATTTATTTATTTACGAACTGTAATAAAATTATTACACAATTTACAATTTAACTCGCTTTCACCCGCGACTCCGTTCGCATGAAAAAAATGTAATTAAGCCTATGTGTTCTTCCAGACTCTTACAACTACGCCAAATTTCATCCGTTCAGCAGTGTAGGCTACAAACTCTAACAAACATCCATCCATCTAAACTTTCGTACGTATAATACTAAGGTAGTAAGACTAGTAAGATATGAGAATTTGAATATAAATAGAATAGAATTTGAATATAATAAAATACGTAAATACTAACAATTCACAGAAAGCAGTATTCGAATAGCGTTGTAAATTCAAAGTAAACACGAGGCTGACATTGACGTTTATACGATTGTTATTGTGTATCTACTCAACAACCGTAGACTAGGTTTATTGTGGTTACTACAACAACCGTGCTACTGGCAAATAAAACGTTGAAATGAAGGTGGATTTTAATGTATTATCAATGTTCTACATTCTTTTTGTTTTCTTTTTTTTATTAACACGGTGGTGATTACTGATCTGGTATTTCCATAATATTATCGGTGTTTT